CCATGTACTGTTATAATCTCCACCCGGCACAGCCAGAAGGGGACTGGCCACCCCTCAGAGCCTGGTTCCTCTCTAGGTTTCTTCCTAGGTTTCTGCCTTTCTAGGGGGGGTTTCCTAGCCACCGTGCTTCTACATCTGCATTGCTTGCTGTTTGGGGTTTTAGGCTGGGTTTCTGTATAGCACTTTGTGACATCTGCTGATGTAAAAAGGGCTTTATAAATCATTTTGATTGATTGATTGATTGACCATTGAACTGCCGATGATAACGGCTGGTGAGATGGCAGAGGAGGTCCAGCAGTTTTTGTGCCTCTCGCTGGCCAAAAAACCCATTGTGGCTGACGGAGGAGCCGGTGCGTCAGACACCCTCGAGGTCCGGTGAGCGGAGGAGCGCAGCGGATCCAAGTCCGGGACAGAGTTGCCTAGCGGTTAAGAGTGTTAGGCCAGTAACCGAAAGATTGCTGGTTTCGAATCCCTGAGCTGACTAGGTGATAAATCTGTCGATATGCACTTGAACAAGGCACTTAACTCTAGTTCCTCCTGTAAGTTGCTCTGGAAAAAAGCAGCTGCTAAATGATGTAAATGTCTCTCTCTACATTGGTCAGCTACATGGGTGGGGTCCTTTCGATATGCTAATGAGTCCTGGGCACACAAATGCTCCTAGAGAGAAGCATGTATTGATGGCAATTCTAAAGTCTCCATCAGAGGCCCAGGCTTTTGGCATAGATGGTAAAGCTCTCATTTCTGGACTGTAAGATTATGCCCTCCACAGCACTGTTAGTAGGAAAGTTATTCATTTTAAGCACCTAAATATACTCACATTCATTCAAAATGTAGTATTTGAAACTCATCCATTAATTTCCCAACTGCTTTTTCTTTAATCATACATCATTCTCTGTACCTTATATTCCAATGCATCCAACATGGTATTGGGCAGCTGCTATTTGAGAACTCATCTGGTTTACAAATCAAACTCTGGTTATCTTATTGCAGAGCACATTGCACAACTGTTTTTAGAGAAGATTGTATTGCAAGGTATGCTTTATGTGTAGGCTATGCCATATGTATTGGCTAATATGCAGCTGTCATTTTTAACCCTCCATTCTAGCAAACATGACACACACACATATTTCTATCTACATGCTTTTATTTGGGTTTCTATGCAAAGTATATGTTTCTTTAAGCCTGCAGCTAGTTACTTGAAACGAGACATACTGTATAATCATGTCAAAACATGATTCAACAATTTAATTAACTGACAGATTGTCATCAATACAATTCGTATTGCATGCTGCATATTTCAAGTGCACTCGAAAACAGATATTTATATTTTTTCAGTCTGAGAGCTAGCTAGCTATATCTGTTCCTCTTCATCAGACAGCAGCTTGCGTTTTCGCAAGAGGCTGTGTTTACATCGTAGATAGAAGCACAGCCTTCATCACGAGGGGTATGTACGGGAGTTCTGATTGGTTTTAAGTTTAGTACTTGGCCAAATTTTTCTGAGCGGCTGAGTGTTTAAATATTGTTTTTTTTTATGAGAAAATGTGTAAGAATTGAAGGTGCCAACAAGTTTTTGTCATCATTAGAATGTTTTACTGTCATATACAAAATATCAGCTCCTCCCTTAAGGCTTCGGCCCACCACCTATCTGTCCTCTACCTCAACACACTTATGGACCCTTTCCAAATTGACAATCCTTATTTTGTACTCCCTGACTGGTGTTTAGTGTGTCTTTGACAATGTAAGTGTACTTACTGCCGGTTAGGGCTCATTTTGTGTTTATTTAATCTGTTTTTGTATTTATTATGGATCCCCATTAGCTGCTGCCAAGGCATCAGCTACTCTTCCTGGGGTCCAGCAACATTAAGGCAGTTATACAGTTTTAAAAACATTACAATACATTTCACAACACATTAAGTGTGTGTGCCCTGAGGCCACTACTTTACTACCACATATCTACAACACAAAATCCATGCGTACATATGTGTATAGAGTGTATGTTATCATGTGTGTGTATGCATGTGTCTGTGCCTGTGTGTGTCTCTTCACTTTCCCCGCTGTTCCATAAGGTGTATTTTTATCTGTTTTTTTTATTTTATCTAACTTTACTTCTTGCATGAGTTACTTGATGTGGAATAGAGTTCCATGTAGTCATGGCTCTATGTAGTACTGTGCACCTCCCATAGTCTGTTCTGGACTTGGGGACTGTGAAGAGACCAAATTATTATTATTCTTTACTGTGAAATAGAATTGTATCTGGTCAAACACCATTTTTTCAAAAACTTTACTAAGGGTTGGTAACAGGCTGATGATTGGATGTTTGAACCAGTAAAGGGTGCTTTGCTATTCTTGGGTAGCGGAATTACTTTTGCTTTCCTCCAGGCCTGAGGGCACACACTTTCCTGTAGGCTTAGATTGAAGAGATGACAAAAAGGAGTGAAAATATCGTCCGCTATCATCCTAAGTAATTTTCCATCCAAGTTGTCAGACCCAGGTGGCTTGTCATTGTTGATAAACAACACTATTTTTTTCACCTCTTCCACATTCACTTTACGGAATTCAAAATTACAATGCTTGTCTTTCATAATTTGGTTAGTTATGCATGGATGTGTAGGTTCAGAATTTGTTGTTGGCATGTCATGCCTAAGTTTGCTATCCTTGTCAATTAACAAATCATTGAAGTAGTTGGCAATATCAGTGGGTTTTCTGATGAATGAGCCATCTGATTCAATGAATGATGGAGCTGAGTTTGCCTTTTGCTCAAAATTTCATTTAAGGGGCTCCAAAGCTTTTTATTATCATTCTTTATATAATTTATCTTTGTTTAATAGTACAGTTTCTTCTTATTTTGTTCATTTTAGTCACATGATTTCTTAATTTACAGTATGTTTGCCAATCGGCTGTGCAGCCGGACTTATTTGCCATTCCTTTTGCCTCATCCCTCTCAACCATACAATTTCTCAATTCCTCATCAATCCACAGGGATTTAACTGTTTTTACAGTCATTTTCTTAATGGGTGCATGCTTATTAGTAACTGGAACAAGCAACTTCATAAATATGTCAAATTCTGCATCTGGTTGCTCCTCATTACACACCACAGACGAGCAAATATTCTTTACATCTTCAACATAGGAATCACTACAAATCATATTGCATCTGTTTTCATGTTATAGGCTGATCTTATTATGTTAGTATATGCTTATACATGTTTCAGTTGTTATATGTCAGGATTACTTCTGTCTGCAATCCCATGCAACATAACCTGTTTATCTACCTGCTTGGCATAGTTCTGGGTACAGTACAGTATCCAGGCCATGATGAGTAGTCCCTTCATTGTTTTTATGGAACCCAAGATGGCTACCAGTTAGTCCTTCTTGTTACTCGCCTAAAATGGCCGACCGGTGATGTCATAACATCCGGTCACTTCCTCTTAGAGTCTTAGCCTCTACCAAGATGTCTGTTGTTTACATACTAGCATTGTTAGCCACATCGCATGCTAACTCCTAGCCGATAATCCTAATGCAAACTCACCCCTACTGTACTTACTGCTGTAGGGGTGAGCCTACTAGCCTAGTGTGCTAGCCTCCACTGTATATACTGTGTGCTACTACCCACAGCCTGTGGCCTGCTAGCCTAGCATGCTAGTTTTTCTTGTATATCTTGTATTTGCTAGCCGCTAATTGTATCCTGTGTATCCTATGCTATGCTAGCCCACCTGTATATACTGTCATATTGTGTGCTAGATTAGTTGGCTGCTACTAGCTTCTCTTTGTAAGCCATACTGTTAACCTAGCTGCTAATACATGCTGGTAGCTCTGTCCATAGTGTACTATTTTGTCCTACTGTGTACCACATTAGCCTATGCTAATACCTGACCATTATAGTACACTTGTCATTCTCATTGCTATTACATAGTCATTGGCCTGTGCTAAATAAACTAAAGGAAAAATAGTAACACAATAAAATAATAGCAAATAATAATTGATCGAGACAGGTGCATGTCCACCCCAAAGTGCTGCATGTCACGATGACAGACACCAGTCTCGATCAATGAGAGAATACTTGAAATAGACGATGGCGGCGTACACATTGTTGGATTACTTGATGGAGCAAAAAAAGTATTTACTTTAATAACTATTATGTAATACATATTCTTCTCTTGTAGACACCACTACAACACTACTAGTTTCCTCTTCCTGTTTGCCATGTGTGTGTGTCTGTTTGGTGTTTGGTAATAAAGTGTGACTTGTGTCCCTGTCTCCTGCTGGTCATTCTACATCCTCTAACAGGGACGCCGGGACAGTTGCACCTATATCTAAGCCGGCACCTCTAACGGAGTCCACCACCAGTTGGTGGCACTCTTTTTCAATGGCCTTTATAAACCGCGTTCAAGACATGTCCTTTGATTATTAGTCAAGATACTTAGTCAGTGGATATGGAAATTGTGCTGATTTGGTGCCGACATGGTGGTCTTCTAGGACCAGGTTGGGCAAATGCTGCTCCTGTAACTGCTACATCTAATTGGCTTTACCATCACTATGTAGCTTTATGCTGAGAGAACAGGGGTGTATTTCAATAGTCCAAAGAGGCTTCCTCTCCTCATCTCTTCTCCTTCATTTGCTGCATCGGTCTAAAAAGACAAGATGGGTGTAAATGAAGGAAAGGAGTCAAGGAGACCACAGATCAAAATTGGATATGTAGCTAAATCAGGTGCAACGTTTGTTGTGCATGGTCCCTGACAAATGAATTAATAAAATAAGGCAAGGAGAGGAAGCCATTTTAGACTATGGACATTCCCCTTAGTCGATGTAGTCCTCCGGGGTGAAGTTTCCCCTGAGTACATATCTAGGATCAACTTCTCCTCCCTCAATCCTAATCTTATTGATTAATGGGGGAAATGTGAAAACTGATCCAAGACGAGCGTCTATGGGCAACTTCATCCTACATCAGATATAGTATATGGGGTCAAAGGGCATGGGGTCAAAAGGAAAAGTTGAAGGCCTCAGCAGTCGGAGTCCATCCTCTCCGGGCGGGCCGACTCGCAGCTGCTGGGCGGTGTGAACACTTCCGGGTCGCTGATGCCCAACTGGAGGTCAAAGAAGCGGGTAGAGGTAGTGACGCTGCTGTTCCTGGTGTAGGTCTCCTGGACGGGGTAGCAGTCCTTCACTGTGTAGACGCCCACCCACGCCTCATCTGGTGTAGCGGGGAGAGGTAGGATTAGGATTTACTTTATTGTCCCTGAGGGGAAATTTGTACATTAAAATGTGCTGTTGCATCTACATAGAATACCATAGGTTAAAAACATACAGACATCATATAAGCACCCCCCCCCCCCCCACACACACAAAAGTTAATCAGTCCATGGCAAGGCTGTGACTCAGTGGTCAGTTCCACATGATTTAAGAAGTCAAACATTATGCACATAAAGTGGCCTAGTTGGTCTAGCAGTACTGGTGCAGCATTTGACACACATATCTACAGTGTCTGCATAGGTTTGAATCAGGCCAACTTCCCTTTGACACAACCTCTCTCACCATATTTTCAATAAAATATGAAAATCCCTTAAAAAATATACTTGAAAAAACACTATGCACATGGATAGCTTCACAATAATGCACAATTATGAGTTAGACATCATAACATTGAAATAGGATACTGTGCAAGGGTCTGTATTCTCAGAGCGGTGAAAACTATCCAATTTCACCAAGAACCAATTTGCAGCAAGACTAGGAAATGGCCACCAGAGGTAAAGTGGACAAAATCTGTGTTGACCGTTGTGACTCACATGATGCCCTTGACCTTTTGAAATAAGTTGCTTGTCATCTCCTGACAAGCACTTTGCACTGAACACCCTTAAAGTGCAATTTCACCCTGGGGGAATCTGGGCTTGTTTTCATCATGACATTGTGCGTGTAGATATGGTTGTCCTTGTTCGATAGAGCTATTGGACGTCTTTCAGTGATGTTCCTATCAGTGGATTCATTGCTAAATATACAAGCTGACAAATTAACTTTAGTTTATCTACTGAAACCCATATTGTGTGTTGCTAGCTAACATACTACTGTGTTACAGTGGGGGGAAATCGAATTATTTTTATGTTTGCTAACTTAGGTAGGTAGGTACCTAGCTAATCTAGATAGCTAAATTAGCTAAACAACTACAGGTAGCCATATCTATGACTTAGTCGTAGATATGGCTACTAAACAGCAAGCTATAACGTTACAACCAGCCACCTAAAGCTAGGTTTACCAGCAAATGTTAGCACATGACTGGAGTTGGCTAGCTAGTTAGCCTGGCACCTGCTAACATGTTACTATGCCCCAGGCCTCCCATTTGTAACTTTTTAGCAAACGTGTAACATCAGCAACTGTAAATAGTTTTACTAGCTAGCTATGTAACATAATTGACGAGGGTTGACATTGGTTATGATTATGACCGTGGATGCATTTTATAATCACACAATTATAGGCATGATGCAAGATAGGATTCCAAACAGATGTAAATAACAATGATTAGATATCCAGCAAGCTAGCTTTACTAGCTAGCTAACAGTGAGGCGAAACAATACAATCATTTAACTGTTGGAAATCTCTAAAACTGATAAGCTGGTTTTACTGTGCAGATATTTGCCTAAGCATGCCTGTTAGACATGGCTGTAGCTTGATACTGTCTGCCTACCTACTTAGGTACATTGTACGGTCTGGTCACTGTGCAAAGGTTGAGGGTTACGCCATATTTATTTATATTAGGCTAGATATTCTAAATGTAATCTCTGTGCCTATGCACGTTCAACTAGTCTACCCTAATGTTGTTATGCTGGCACAGTTCAACTGTCGTTCAAATTGTGCACTGGAGTGTAATTTATTATAAATTTTTGTCTTACAGACAATACTGTGTGGTGCCTGGGCTTCCTCCTGGAGTGGATTCTTGGAGAGAAACATATTTCCTTTGCCTGTGTGTGTCATTGTAGAAAAACTGTATCCTGTGAACTGTATCCCTCTTGATGGATTGGAAATTATGCCTGATTTCAAACAGATGACTCAAGAGGAGCTGAATGGCAGTTTGATCATGACAACACTCCTCCTACAAGTGTTCCCTGAAGTTACTGTATGTTTCTTTGGAATGGAAATTTCATCATGACCACCTCTACCATCATCTGCTGATCCCCAGTTCTCTTAGCTACAGATTGTTACACCAGATAATGTGATTTAACCAAAACATGTTGGTCTCCATTACTGGGAGTTACAGAATAGGTACCGTTTGGTGTAGCACAGAATTTTCGACCAACCTTGCTGTCTTCGTCCTCAATTCGTGGAAACAGGAGTCTCATAAAATGTCCATGTCCAGTTGCAGGGGGTCAGTTTGAATTTAGAAAATGCTCAGTTATTAAAGTAAATACTTTTTTTGCTCCATCAAGTAATCCAACAATGTGTACGCCGCCATCGTCTATTTCAAGTACTCTCTCATTGATCGAGACTGGTGTCTGTCATCGTGACATGCAGCACTTTGGGGTGGACATGCACCTGTCTCGATCAATTATTATTTCCTATTATTTTATTGTGTTACTATTTTTCCTTTAGTTTATTTAGCACATTTTTCAGACTTTTTTTTAAAAACTCTGCATTGTTAGTTAAGGGCTCGTAAGCATTTCACAGTAAGGTCTACACCTGTTGTATTCGGCGCATGTGACAAATACAATACGATTTGAAAAATATTGATTTTAATAATGGAGCAATTTCTAAATTCAAATGGACACCCTGCAACTGAACACGGACATTTTGAGAGTCCTGTTTCCACGAATCAAGGACGAAGACAGCATCGCCAAGGTTTCTCGAAAATTCCCTGTGCTACACCAAACAGTACCTATCCTGTAAATCCCAGTGATGGATACCAAAAATCAGTTGTAACAATCTGTAGCTACAGTTCTCCGCACTTTACTACACCTGAGACACACTCAAACACACTGAACTGTACTACACTGTTCATACTGGTTTTTTTGGTATGTTACTTTTACCATATAACATTCTTGCTGAATACCCAGTCCTCTGTTTGAGTTGGCATTATATATTGTACACTCCCATGTAGATTAGATTGTGACAAATAAACATGATTTGGATATACAGTTGAAGTCGGAAGTTTACATACACCTTAGCCAAATACATTTAAACTCAGTTTTTCACAATTCCTGACATTTAATCCAAGTAAACATTCCCTGTCTTAGGTCAGTTAGGATCACCACTTTATTTTAAGAATGTAAAATGTCAATAATAGTAGAGAGAATGACTTATTTCAGCTTTTATTTCTTTCATCACATTCCCAGTGGGTCAGAAGTTTACATGCACTCAATTAGTATTTGGTAGCATTGCCTTTAAATTGTTTGACTTGGGTCAAACGTTTCGGGTTTCACAAGCTTCCCACAATAGGTTGGGGGAATTTTGGTCCATTCATCCTGACAGAGCTGGTGTAACTGAGTCAGGTTTGTAGGCCTCCTTGCTCGCACACGCTTTTTCAGTTCTGCCCACAAATGTTCTATAGGCTTGAGGTCAGGGCTTTGTGATGGCCACTCCAATACCTTGACTTTGTTGTCCTTAAGCCATTTTGCCACAACTTTGGAAGTATGCTTGGGGTCATTGTCCATTTGGAAGACCCATTTGCGATCAAGCTTTAACTTCCTGACTGATTTTCCTTCCTCATGATGCCATCTATTTTGTGAAGTGCACCAGTCTCTCCTGCAGCAAAGCACCCCCACAGCATGATGCTGCCACCTCCGTTCTTCACGGTTGGGATGGTGGTCTTCGGCTTGCAAGCCTGCCCATTTTTCCTCCAAACATAATGATGATCATTATGGCCAAACAGTTCTATTTTTGTTTCATCAGACTAGAGGACATTTCTCCAAAAAGTACAATATTTGTCCCCATGTGCAGTTGCAAACCGTAGTCTGGCTTTTTTATGGCGGTTTTGGAGCAGTGGCTTCTTCCTTGCTGAGCGGCCTTTCAGCTTATGTCGATATAGGACTCATAATGTGGATATAGATACTTTTGTACCTGTTTCCTCCAGCATCTTCACAAGATCCTTTGCTGTTGTTATGGGATTGATTTGCACTTTTCGCACCAAAGTACGTTAACTCTAGGAGACAGAACGCATCTCCTTCCTGAGTGGTATGACAGCTGCATGGTCCCATGGTGTTTATACTTGCGTACTATTGTTTGTACAGATGAACGTGGTACCTTCAGGCATTTGGAAATTGCTCCCATGGATGAACCAGACTTGTGGAGGTCTACATTTTTTCCCCCTGAGGTCTTGGTTTGATTTCGTTGGATTTTCCCATGATGTCAAAGAGGCACTGAGTTTGAAGGTAGGCCTTGAAATACATCCACAGGTACACCTCCAATTGACTCAAATTATGTCAATTAGCCTATCAGAACCTTCTAAAGCCATTACATTATTTTCTGGAATTTTCCAAGCTGTTTAAAGGCACAGTCAACTTAGTGTATGTAAACTTCTGACCCACTGGAATTGTGATACAGTGAATTATAAGTGAAATAATCTGTCTGTAAACAATTGTTGGAAAAATTACTTGTGTCATGCACAAAGTAGATGTCCTAACCGACTTGCCAAAACTATAGTTTGTTAACAAGAAATGTGTGGAGTGGTTGAAAAACTAGTTTTAATGACTCCAACCTAAGCGTATGTAAACTTACGACTTCAACTGTATCTAAATGTCTAACATCTGTTTGATGCTACAGAGCCCTGTACAGCTTATATAAATATATTCTGTGAATCCATAAAGGTATACAAATTTCAAGGATTGATCGAAAATATATATTTTTATTTTATGGTCCTTTATCCAACTTCGGTACACTGGCAATGGTGTAGGCATGGTGGGCTGTGGAAGCAGAACGCTTGTGGCGAATGGTCTTGTCCCGTCTGCAGTGTACGGCCAGCTGGATAAGACTGCCGGAAGTGGTGTAGGGCTCGTAGACCTTAACCACCAACTGTTTGGACCTCTTGCAGAAGGTTTGCTGGTACTGCACATCTCCTGGAAAGATATGGTTGTGGTGTTACCATTTTACACTTTTTGTGGAAGGGACGTAGGGCAATGCCTTTGTTGGTAAAGGTGTCAACCGATTGGGACATAGGTGTTTAGAGACAGACTAGTGCATTGTTTAGGGACAATGAGGGCCATTGGGAGCTGCTTTTGAGAGGAAAGATCAGTCAACATATACGTCCTTAGCAGCGCTTATCGAGGACTCATGCAAGGGTTAGTCCTGTCAGGCCATCGGCAGATTTTTCACAGTCTGCTCGGGATTATAACACGAATTCGATTACTGGCCAACGCCTAACCACTAAGCTACCTGCCGCCCCAGAAGTTCTTACACAATATGTATTGTGGTGTATGGGAGATTGAGGATCATTCTTGTCAATAGTAGCAGGGGATTTTTGTAGACGTGTCTTTGTATTGTCTTTTCAGAATCTGCATAGATAAGACTGACTTGTGGGTTTTGTCATTACTGTTGTAGTCTTGATTTTATACAGTGTCTTTTCTCGTTTTTGATCCCACAATCTTGTGTCTCCATCAATGCAAGGTGTCCCCTCCCGTCCATGCTCGTGTACCCACTTGAGGGGTATTTTTCATCAGGGCATGTGGAATGCCTCCAGATACCTGATTTTACAAAGAGAAATGGTAAAAAGAGAGGAAAAGGGGGGTAGACTCAAAATTGGATTCCATGGGTCCTGGAAGGTACTCTGTGGCGCTCAGGCTACATCTAACCATCCTTAACCCCATAACACAAACCCATTCAAACACTACCCAATTCATGTTTATGCCATGCTTACTGTAAATTGAGCTATCTTAGCCATCAGCTTGTAAATATTTTTTGCCAACTTACCTTCAATTTATGCAGAGCTAGGGGTTGGAAACACAGGCTGGTGGAATCAGATTATGTACCACCTACAACAAAACACACAATGATACACAATTTAACCACCCCACTAATTGCATTGATCTCTATTAGACTGGCAAAGTTAGCACACCTAACATGGACATTTCAATATTGTCAGCTTCACTAAATTGGCAGCAAGATTGCTAGCAAGATGAGAACCAACCATACACTATTTATACACATTCATCATTACTACCAACACACAGAGTGTGAGTTAGCTATATAGACAATTACATTTTTAGTAACTGAGTGTTTTCCAGACAAGGGTGAAATAGATGACTACCAGATTGAGTTACTCTTATGTGTTAACGTTAGCTAGCTTACGTTAGCTAACGTTAGTCAAAGATAGAATGAACAGACAAACATGTTTACTCTACTGAAGGTAGCTAGCTACCAGTCTAGCAGTGACTACCATGGCATAGGCGAAATTGATTGACAGTGTGTATCAAAAGATAGCTAGCTAAATGATTTAGCTGATGGCTTTCAGTGTTCAATACAGGACTGTAACCGCTAACTAGCTAATTTACCTAGTCCAGCTAACGTTACGTTACCTCTTTCGATAATCTTCCATTCTGTTGTGAAGGGAGAAAACGATGGTATCATATCACTTCTCAGCTGTCGTCTAAAATGGATTCCCCATCTGTTCAGCCTGAAAATCACTCTGATAATCTTTGGTCATCGTAAGCATAATTCTTGATAGCCGCAACCCACTGGCAGCATCGGGGTAAATCTCTGGCAGGTAGAATGGTGAAAGATACCTCATTTTCGTGCTTGTTTGTAATTAGCACAGACAGCCAGAACAACACACGGGCATGATGACAAACACACCTTTTTTTATTACCTAGAGAAGTTCTGAGATAATAATAATATGCCATTTAGCAGACGCTTTTATCCAAAGCGATTTACAGTCATGTTTTACGTATGGGTGGTCCCGAGGATCGAACCCACTACCCTGGCGTTACAAGCGCCATGCTCTACCAATTGAGCTACAGAGGACCACATTACTTTGTGTTTGTCGTTCGAAGTAAACAACGGCATAAATTTGTGGGCACGCCCAATCTATTTAGCGGGGCGGTATCTGCATTCGCTATGAATGCCTGACTTTGGGGTTCTTCATTATGAGCAGACGAATACACAGGAAGTCAAAACTTCCCGATTCTAGCAGTGAAATGAAAATGTACTTGTTCAAACTTGTGTTTTGGATAATGTTGTTAATATAGTAATGACTATATGTTGTGGCAGAGCCAGGGAGAAATTCCTCTTTAAAGCACGTTGCCGCCACTATTTCAAAATAATGTCCTGTCCTGGAGAGAAAATGCATGTTTAGGTTCCACCTCCAAAGAATGATGAAGGCTAGTTATACATATTCACGAATTGGGTGTGAGAATTTCCATGTGGAGTTGATCTGTAGTTCAATTGGTAGAGCATGGCGCTTGTAACGCTAACTGTATCTAGCTATCGTGCTAACCTTATCTAGCTAGCTAATGTTATCGGTTGTTGCATGTTTTTTTTTTTTTTTTTATATAAACCGTATTCAAAATATTAGCCAGCTGGCTCTATGGCATAATCATTGATTTAGGGAAAACTTCGCCACACTGGCCTATTGTTATCTCCAAAGTTTTGGCATCTTCCATAAATTGCAGTGGAGTGTGTAGTGAAACAAAACTTTAGTGGTCAAAACCATTCATCTTGGGGCTACGAGGGGAGCAGGTTTGCACAATGCTATCATATCACGCATTTATAAAATGGTCATATATATTTCTAATACAGGCTAGCTAAAAAAATAAGTGAATATTTATAAATTACCCAATTGATTATGATAATGCTCTGGTTAAAAAAATTAAAATAAAAAGTGCAAAAACATACGTTTGCACCCCCTAATTTAATTTGCTCCATTGCTCAAGTGACCTAGTGGACACAAGGCTGTTTGGCTCATCTCAGTCGAGAAGACTTAAATCGTTGTGCAACATCATGGGTAAGCTCTGGCCATTGTCTTTCAGCTTGAAAAAGTTGATTTCTACTGGTGTGGGCGTTTAACATTGCTCTGGACATGAACATTAGAAAATAAAAGTAAACATTGAAGCATTTCCTGTTCTAAATAATATAATGGAAACGCCAGCCCACTGGTGAGCTTGATGCTTCCAAACATTTATAAACCAATGTTTTGGTCTTCAATGGAACTTCATCAGGGACCTTCGCTTCCTTCTAAGTATAACGTTTTTCTACATGCACCTGGTAACACAATGGAGCTACACTGAGTGTGCAAAAACATTAGGAACACCTTCCTAATATTGTGTTGTACACACTTTTGCCCTCAGAACAGCCTCAATTCGTCAGGGCATGGACTCTACAAGGTGTCAAAAGAGTTCCACAGGGACGCTGGCCAATGTTGACGCCAATGCTTCCCACAGTTGTGTCAAGTTGACTGGATGTCCTTTGGGTGGTGGACCATTTTTGATACACATGGGAAACTGTTGAGTGTGAAAAACCCAGCAGCGTTGCAGTTCTTGACGCACAAACCGCATGGCACCTACTACCATACCCTGTTCAAAGGCACATACTTACTTTTACGGGCTGGTTTCCTATCTGACCACTCCTGCACCTCGATCATGTCTCCAGGACCACCGATAAAGTACTGGTCCTCATAGGTGGAGTTCATAGGGATGTCAAAGGGGTCCCAGGCCTGGGTCAAGGCGATCTTAGAACACTGCTTCGTCTTCTGCTCGATCTGGAACAGCAGGCCACTGTTGTACAGGTAGATAAACTCAAAGTATCTGGAGAGTGCGTGCAAAACAAAGGAAATAATAGGAGTTGTAATAACAGGAGAAAATGCACGTGATTTGAATCAATCATACTGTAGCTAGGTAAATAGTAGCTATTCATGGAAGAAGTTGATCCAATGCCCTGTTCTTGGATAAGCTCGCCATTTTCCCTAATAGGCCTAAGTAAAACAAATGACAACCGCCAGAGCAAAAAGAGGAAAAGTGTTTTTCTCACAGCATAGATAGACCTTGAACAATAATCTAATTACTTGGTTATTATCAAAGAACAGGGCATTGGATCAACTTCTTCCATGAAGGTCAGCAACAATGCTGACTCATAGGTCTTGACATAAAACAAAAAAATCTAGTTCATAAAGAACACATATGCTTATTATTTAAAATATACATATAAAAACATTTATAGTCTTATTACTTATTATGTTGGTAGAGGTTCAATATCACACAAAAAGTCTTAGATTGGATATGTTTGTTCCAGAATTTTTCTGTTATTGTCTATTTGGGTCTGCAATCACACTGGTAGAAGGACAGATCAAGCCATATGGACGCTTGGTAGCGGCCATCATCAGTATTCACAATGCCTAATCTTTGTTTACTTGACCTCACTAGTTGGACAAACGCTATTCGTGAATAAAAACGAATGTTTCAAAGTAGCCTGCTTACTTCTGGCATGGTGTATGTTTTTTATTCTGTTGAAGAAGCCTTATTCTCTGGTTCTGTGCATCATACGACACCGTGGCCCGTGTATTCCGCCCAGTGCTGTGGTCATATTCGACGGATCTGCCCTCCCATTGCAAGGGCGCAAGACAGGGCTGAGCTGGCGGTGCGAAAGCTGCCTCCGGATAGCTCAAAGCAGGTACCACCGCTCCCAAGCAAAATGCAAACACGAGCGGTAAAAAATGGGTCATCCTGGAGATATGGAATTCGTTCAAGTGAAGGTAAAAATCATGAACTGTTGATTCCATTTGACATGTGGCAGCAGGTTGATAACACCACAGAGTCTTATACCGTTACACCAAAAAAAAAGCTCTTGTTTTTTTCATAGCAGCTCACGCAGTCGCAAATCCGTCCTATGATAATAAACATGTTTGCATAAAAATTATAGATTTAAGGTAATATTATGTTATATTAATTATTGTAAACAAATATAGCATGATATGCAGTCATACCTTAGAATTTAACAAGCACAGGAACATTTTGCATTTTGAAATTTACATGTTTTAAATGGATATTTGCCACTTTTATCTTTATTTCTATACAATGTATTTATTTATAAATAATATAAATACAAATAATAGCCAATAGTGCGTAGGCTAAATTGCATTAGGTTATTATTTATATCTTCCGTTATCTAGACCTGTCCATGCCCATGTTTTTTTTTATCATCCTTGTCACCAGAGGGCAGGCTTGTAAAAGTTTTGGTTCCATCAATCAGCTGATCGCTAGTTTCGCCACACATAGAACAATAGCACAATTTCTAAACCATACTGTACTGTCTTTGACAATAGAACTCGCCAGCTTGTAGTCCTAAAACCCGGAAATGAGTTAGCCTACCTCTAGTTTGTTCAGCCATTCTTATGGGGAAAGAATAGGGTTTTGGGATAAATGACGAAAATAAGGTCTGAGATTAACACAGGTTTAGGAGGTCAGGAGGTCTTATACGTTTTGTTCTATGAGATAATATCAGTCAGTTAACATGACCTTTATGATTTATGAAGACTTTGTGCTATATGTGCTTTTTTTAATTACATAAATGTTTAATAATTCACAAAAAGTGACGTTAGCTGATGAAGATTATCTAATAGAACAAAACGTATAAATTCTTCTAAACTTGTGTTAACCACAAACCTTATTTTGGGAGTTTATCCAAAAACCCTACAAAAACCAAATGTATTTCCCCATAGGCTTTGTTCAACGAACCATTGCGGAGTTAGTGCCTACAAAAAGACGCCATTACTATTGTCAGAGAGGAAGAGAGAGGCCCAACTCGGCGGAAAATCTGTCTCACTCCAGTAGGTGGCGTTCTTTCGTTGCTTCGCCAACCAAGCAAGGAGTTTTGTAGGGAGGTAAATGAGTGTCGAATTTGGTCAACAAAAACATGTATTGCTTGTTTGCTACGTGAGGTTTATTGATCGAATATAAGTTTTGTAATGCTTAAGTTGTTACTAGGGTACTGATATAAGTAGGACATGTGTCATCCCGGCAACTTTGAGAAAACACACTATATCGGGGGTTGTCTCGAGATGGCTATGCATATTCATGGTAGAATAGCGTCTCTCTCCATGGAATACAGGCGGTTGACGTCAACAACCCTCATTGAATATTCAAAAACAATATTACAATAATGAGATGTATCCACCAATCAAAAGAAAGGATAGGCGGGAGCTAGACAGCCCTCTGTGCCGCTTTGTGGACAACGACTCCTACTGTTAGGGGGAAGAGACATGTATCTAGTTTCAAGTTTTAATGTCACATGCACAAGTACAGTGAAATGCCTTTCTTGCAAACTCAAAACCCAACAATGAAATAATCAATTACAATGTATTATTAGAAAAAAAGACACGAGAAATAAGAATAGGAAATATGAAATACATAATAAAGTAAGTAAGTAAGCATACAGGAAATATTAAAAAAGTCAGTTCCAATACCATATTTGTATGTGCAGGGATATTGGAGTGATGGAGGTAGATATGTATAGTGGTAAGGGGACTAGCCAACAGGATATAAGATAAACAGAGTAGCTGTAGCTTGCATCTTGTCAGTATATCCATAATCTTTGCTATTGCTCTCTATGAGGGAGGGTTAGGTTATAATGCTGCATTTAAAACAATTGGGAAGCCGGAAATATCTGACTTCCGAGCGTTCATGACAGTGGAGGCTCCTCAGAGGAGGAAGGGGAGGACCATCCTCCTCAGTGAATTTCATAAAAATTAAAATGGTAAAACATTAAATTCTTTATCAATTTTAGATAAAAATATACTAAATATAATCACGTCACCAAATAACTGATTAAAACACACTATTTTGCAAAGAAGGTCTACAGTAGCCTCAACAGCACTCTGTAGGGTAGCACCATGGTGTAGCCAGAGGACAGCTAGCTTCCGTCCTTCTCTGGGTACATTGACTTCAATACAAAACCTAAGAGGCTCATGGTTCTCACCTCCTTCCATAGACTTACACAGTAATTATGACAACTTCCGGAGGACGTCCTCCAGCCTATCAGAGCTCTTGCAGCATGAACTGACATGTTGTCTACCCATTCAAAGGATCAGAGAATTGATCTAGAACTGAAAGCATAAGCTACAGCTAGCTAGCACTGCAGTGTATAAAATGTGGTGAGTAGTTGACTCAAAGAGAGAGAAAGACAATAGTTGAACAGTTTTGAACAAAATTATTTTTTCTCCAAAATTAAGGAGAAGCAAGAGAGAAATATAGAGAGAGAGATTTCATCATTCTTTTTCACTTTCAGTTTCACTTACTTACCTAGCAAATGCAGCTAGCTAGTTTAGCCTACTGAAACACCCTGCTTAAACAGAGGGATGCTATGTTAGCTAGCTGGCTATGACTTTCCAACACAACACTGGAACTCTTCCAGGTCAAGGTAAGCTTTTGGGATTACTAATTTATTGCCACTGGGGCCCGCCAGTGTAACTGCTTACTGACTGTACACTAACGTTACTGCATGATTGTAGCGGGTTTACTAACGCATTAGTTCTATTAGCTATGCTGACTATGACGTTACTTTAGCTAATGTGGTGACAATGATGTAGGCTGTGTGCAGCAGTTTGGCTTGGAATTTTTTTTTTGCCTGGCCACATACAGCTGATTTGTTGTGCATTGAAGTCCACAAGCGAAGGGAAGAGGTGAGAGGAGTAGAGCCATAGATGCGAGAAGGAATACAACGTGGCTGCTATGAAAGTGAACAGTGTTTATGCATGATCAGGGGTGTATTCATTCCGTCGATTCTGTTGAAAAACGTTTCTTAAACGGAAGCAAACGGATCAAAACAGGGATAAACATACCTGAATTTGTCCAATAGAAACTCCTGTTTGCAACTATATCAGCTAGATGCAGGCAAGAATGTGCAAGGCGGTATTGAATGTCACTGTCTGTCACATCAAATTTGTCTCTCGACCTACGTTGTAAACTTTCATTCATAGGCTAGCAACCTGGGTATAGGGAAAATTTGATTATCATGTAGTAGCCTAAACCTATCGCTGGGTGAATGGAATATGAATGAGAGTCATCCAATATGCTGTAATAGAAATAAGGCCATGCTCATGAAAAAAAATCTTAAAAGGCACTGACCACCACTGGTTCATGACAACTGGGAACTCGGGAAAAACTAGCTCTGACTGAGGAAAAATCTTTTGAACAGTCATCCAACTCGGAATTCCAAGTCAGAAACTCAAGCATATTTCTAGACTTTCCGACCTGACATCATGATTTGACCACCCCCCGAGTTCCCATGGTGCATTCAAGACAACTGGGAACTCTGAAAAATACCAGGTCAAATCATGACGTCAGGGATCTCCAGGTCAGAAAGCCGGAGCTCTAGAAAGAGGCCCGAGTTCCTAAGTTGGAATTCCAAGTTGAATTACTGTTCAAAAATATTTTTCCCAATCGGAGCTCGTTTTTTTCAGAGTGTCTTGAACAAACTGAAATCGAAAGTAGGATATTTCCGAGTTCCCAGTTGTTTTGAACGTGGCACCAGTTGTCTTGAAAATCTTTGGTTTCGCCACGACGTGGACTGATGAAGAGATGGTGGATGTGGTTGGAAGAGGGCGGTGGTTTGAAATGGAAAAGTGTCACGGTGGCTATTGATAAAGAAGAACATCAAGACGAAGCAGCTGCTTGTGACAGCCGGTTAAATGACTTCCCTTGAGAAGGCAAGAACTAAGTAAAAAGATGAGAGAGGCCTGTAATTTTCATCATAGGTACACGTCAACTATGACAGACAAATTGAGAAAAAAAAATCCAGAAAATCACATTGTAGGATTTTTAATGAATTTATTTGCAAATTATGGTGGAAAATAAGTATTTGGTCACCTACAAACAAGCAAGATTTCTGGCTGTCACAGACCTGTAACTTCTTCTTTAAGAGGCTCCTCTGTCCTCCACTCGTTACCTGTATTAATGGCACCTGTTTGAACTTGTTATCAGTATAAAAGACACCTGTCCACAACCTCAAACAGTCACACTCCAAACTCCACTATGGCCAAGACCAAAGAGCAGTCAAAGGACACCAGAAACAAAATTGTAGACCTGCACCAGGCTGGGAAGACTGAATCTGCAATAGGTAAGCAGCTTGGTTTGAAGAAATCAACTGTGGGAGCAATTATTAGGAAATGGAAGACATACAAGACCACTGATAATCTCCCTCGATCTGGGGCTCCACGCAAGATCTCACCCCGTGGGGTCAAAATGATCACAAGAACGGTGAGCAAAAATCCCAGAACCACACGGGGGGACCTAGTGAATGAACTGCAGAGAGCTGGGACCAAAGTAACAAAGCCTACCATCAGTAACACACTACGCCGCCAGGGACTCAAGTCCAGACGTGTCCCCCTGCTTAAGCCAGTACATGTCCAGGCCCATCTGAAGTTTGCTAGAGTGCATTTGGATGATCCAGAAGAGGATTGGGAGAATGTCATATGGTCAGATGAAACCAAAATAGAACTTTTTGGTAAAAACTCAACTCGTCGTGTTTGGAGGACAAAGAATGCTGAGTTGCATCCAAAGAACACCATACCTACTGTGAAGCATGGGGGTGGAAACATCATGCTTTGGGGCTGTTTTCTGCAAAGGGACCAGGACGACTGATCCGTGTAAAGGAAAGAATGAATGGGGCCATGTATCGTGAGATTTTGAGTGAAAACCTCCTTCCATCAGCAAGGGCATTGAAGATGAAACGTGGCTGGGTCTTTCAGCATGACAATGATCCCAAACACACCGCCCGGGCAACGAAGGAGTGGCTTCGTAAGAAGCATTTCAAGGTCCTGGAGTGGCCTAGCCAGTCTCCAGATCTCAACCCCATAGAAAATCTTTGGAGGGAGGTGAAAGTCCGTGTTGCCCAGCGACAGCCCCAAAACATCACTGCTCTAGAGGATATCTGCATGGAGGAATGGGCCAAAATACCAGCAACAGTGTGTGAAAACCTTGTGAAGACTTACAGAAAACGTTTGACCTGTGTCATTGCCAACAAAGGGTATATAACAAAGTATTGAGAAACTTTTGTTATTGACCAAATACTTATTTTCCACCATAATTTGCAAATAAATTCATTAAAAATCCTACAATGTGATTTTCTGGAAAAAAAAATCTTGTTTTGTCTGTCATACTTGACGAGTACCTATGATGAAAATTACAGGCCTCTCTCATCTTTTTAAGTGGGAGAACTTGCACAGTATGTCAGGAGAAGTGCAGTATTATCATAAGGAGACGTATACTTGGAATACGGAGGAGGAATGGAGGGAAAAACAGAGGCAGAGGAGGTCTAAGAGAGAGAGAGAGGAAGAGGGTGAGCTTGAGTCGGTTAAAAATGGCAGAAAAAAGGGAGATGGTTTGTTAAAGAAGAATTGTAGAAAGTGTAAGCAGAGTGAGCTGAAGACAGGAGGAGAAATGGAAGTGAATGAGGGCAAAGGATCGGAGGTGGTAGGTGTGGTGAAGTTCTCGGAGCTCGAGAATTTCACAGAGGGTCAGGATAAAGAATAGTCTGTGACAGTAGGATTGAAGTTTTTGGAAAAAGTGGACCCTTGCCGTTTGGCTGATGAATTTGTGGTTTCACGGTGGGAGAAAACAGAGTTGGGTGCTGTGGAATCGGTGAGGGTAACCAGAAGCGGTCTTGTGATAATTGTTTGTGTTTCTGCTGGTCAGAGGGAGCAGGCGCTCCGCGTTAAACGAATGGGGGCAAGAGATGTGAATTGTTTTGCTCTCAAGAAAAGGGTGCCATTGAAAGGAGTGATTACTGGGGTGGCGGTAAATGTGAAAGCTGACCAACTGAAGGGGAAGATTCCCAGTGTTTGTGATGCTCGTTGTTTGGTGCGACGCAGACAGGATGGCATGAGTGGTGACACAGAAGAGTTGTCTGTTCTTTTGAGTTTTAATGTTGAGTCCTGTAAGTTATCCTGTACGAGCTTTTGTGCCTAATACATTACGTTGTTACAGGTGTCAAGCTTATGGGCATGTGGCAGCGGTGTGTAGGAGGTAGGTTCCTAGGTGTGAGAAGTGTGCAGAAGGGCATGAGACAAAGGAATGTGTAGCATTGGGGAAAGTAGTGGTATGTGTTAATTGTAGGGGTGCCCATGGGGCTGGGGATCAGAAATGTCAGGTGCGAGAGAGGCAGGTTGAGGTTTCCAGGGTTAGAGTAGTGCAGAAGTTGTCATATGCTGAGGCAGTGAAGAAAGTAGAGGAAGATGGGTCAAGGGGGAGGGATCCTGAGAGGAGTGGTGTGAGTAGTAGATCTGTACCAGTACAGAGTGATAAACCTACAAGTGATATACAGTGCCTTCGGAAAGTATTCAGACCCCTTGACTTTTTCCACATTTAACTTTATTCTAAAATGTATTAATTTATTTTATTTTCTCGTCAATCTACACACATTACCCCATAGTTACAAAGCAAAAACAGGTTTTTAGAAATGTTTGCTAATTTATATATATATATATAAAAAACTTAAATATTACATTTACATAAGTATTCAGACCCTTTACTCAGTACTTTGTTGAAGCACTTTTGGCAGTGATTACAGCATCGCTCTTCTTGGGTATGACGCTACAAGCTTGGCACACCTGTATTTCGGGAATTTCTCCCATTCTTCTCTGCAGATCCTCTCAAGCTCTGTCAGGTTGGATGGGGAACGTCCCTGCACAGCTATTTTGAGGTCTCTGCAGAGATGTTAGATCGGGTTCAAGTCCAGGCTCTGGCTGGGCCACTCAAGGGCATTCAGAGACTTGTCCCGAAGCCACTCCTGCATGGTCTTGGCTGTGTGCTTATGGTATGGATTGGATTTTTAGCATTTATAGCAATGGTTATCAACTGTACTGCAGGGATGGAACGTAAGTTGCAGAAAATTGAGGTTGTGGTGGCAGCTGCAGAGAGGTATTTTGGGTGTGCCAGACTTGATGTCAGAAGAGTTACAGGGTGTGTTAAGTCGTGGTGTCCCATCCTTTCAGGCTGTTGGCCTGAAGTAGGACTAAATAGTGGAGTATGGTGTTTATTTTTTATATATTTTTATATATATATATATAAAAAATTAGTGAGTGTAGTGTTAGATAGTTTTTTTAAAAGTTTTTTTTAAGCAAAGTATAAGGGAGTTATACTCCAGTCTAGTAGGTGGCGGTAATGCAACATTTATTGGATGCCAACCGCCCTTAAACCTCATCAACGAAGAAGACATGGACTGATGACGTAACGACCCAAGATGGCGAAAAAACTGCATAGGAAATCTGCATCGTCCTCAAATAAATTAAATAGTGCAAACATGACGGATGATTTTCAATTACATCTCGACTCAAGCGACGACGATGCTCCAGAAGAGGTGACCTTCGAAGATTCAAAGGCTTCCGCTCTACGGAACATGAAAGATGCGTTGGAGACAGCCAAAAGGTACAGGCTAGCTACGTGCTAATGCTAACGATGTCCTCATGGTACAGTAGTGTTTTGTTAGAGTAACGTTCATGAAAAAACGTTTTTTTAAATCGAAAACCAGATGTTTTAGGCTTATTTCTAGTGAAACACGTCAATTCTGGTCTTCATCTTGATAGTTCGTTGCAATAGTGATATTTTGGTCTTTTAGTAGTAAATCTAATTAGTTTTGCTCCCTAGCGGTTCAACTCTACCATTGAAATCGTGATGTAGAGAAGGTGCCTCTACGTCATCTCAAGGGAGGTGTTCGGTATGAAATACACTCCCATCTAGATGTGCTTGTGCTGAGTGGTACCGCCTCAAGGCTTACTATAAAAGCAGATGACATCGTGTCTTATTTGGCAATGGTCTTGGTAAATTAAGTGTGCCAATATATTTTGCATGATGCTTCCTTGTCTAGACTACTGACCTTGCACAAAATTCAAATGGCAGTAAGGCACATTTCTGCATATGACCAAATTCGTTTTTGCTTATCGTTTCATACTATGAGGATGAGGATTATACGTTTGTTTATATTTGTAGCTACATCATTCATAACAAGAAATGGATGACAATGGTGGTCATGTCAACTCATATTTTTTCCCAACAGCTATGACTGATTGGTCTGCTCAAACAGTTGGCTCATAGCTCAGTGGTTGTGAGTTCTAATCCCACATGGGGCAGAATTTTATTTGTATTTTTAAATGCCCACACACACTTCTAATTCTAAAAAGTGAAAGCATACCTGTGAGCGGGGTCGCCCTGGTAGTAGTTGTAGGTTTTTACACAGTACCCAAGACCAAAGTGAGTTAATTTGACCAATGGAAAAAGAGCTAGTGCGTAAATACAGCAATCCGGTTTGGATTGAATTGAGCCCTTCATTTTCAAGCTATGACTGCATTTTTCCCAACACAATAACGCAATAAATGTGAGTCCACATTTCAAAGATTTATTGCGCCCCATGGGGGATTCGAATTTACACTGCAAGTGGCAGTAGATATCTAGGAACCCGGCACCTTACCACCGTGTGCTAACTGTCCATGAGCAATTCCCCCCACCCACAACTTCTCACCAGAATTCATTTTTTGAAAATGTTAAAGGGTTGGGCAAAGGCAGAAATTGGGGTTGAGAGTTACCCTTCAATGGCTAGCCTGAGGTAACACATTCATTTGTTCACAGAGAAAAGGATTTTCTCAAAGAAAAACGAAGGAAGAGACAGGAGCTGTTTCAAGAACAGAAGGTAGGTCCATGTCTCAATGTTGTCAATGTTATTAGCACAGTAACGTTAACGTTATCTCTGCCACAATTTAATAATAATAATAATTTGGTGGGTGCTTATCAGGGTTTCTGTTATGAAAATGTGGCCCCAGTCCTGCAGCATTTTAATTTACCGGACTCATATGCATTGGGTGCGTAACCTGATTAAGGAGTCCACCCACGTTGCTCAAAATGACAGAAATCACATTTATATTATAGTAATTCATCTCAACAGAACATGCAAGTCGAGGATGCAGTGACGTGTGTCCTTAACGCGCACTTTGAAGATGTTAGAATAAATGTCCACATTTACTTTTCTTCAGCCAACAAGACAAGTAACAAACAGCAGAATCACTAGCCTATGCATAGTCGGCGTGTGAGTTTCGAGTTCCCGTTCCCCAGACCTGAATCCAATTGAGCACATCTGGGACATCATGTCTCGCTCCATCCACCAACGCCACGTTGCACCACAGACTGTCCAGGAATTGGCGGATGCTTTAGTCCAGGTCTGGGAGGAGATCCCTCAGGAGACCATCCGCCACCTCATCAGGAGCATGCCCAGGCGTTGTAGGGAGGTCATACAGGCACGTGGAGGCCACACACACTACTGAGCCTCATTTTGACATGTTTTAAGGACATTACATCAAAGTTGGATCAGCCTGTAGTGTGGTTTTCCACTTTAATTTTGAGGGTGACTCCAAATCCAGACCTCCATGGGTTGATAAATTTGATTTCCATTGATAATTTTTGTGATTTTGTTGTCAGCACATTCAACTATGTAAAGAAAAAAGTATTTAATAAGATTATTTCATTCATTCAGATCTAGGATGTGTTATTTTAGTGTTCGCTTTATTTTTTTGAGCAGTGTATATATATATATATATATTTTTTTTTAATCCATTTTAGAACACGGCTGTAACTTAACAAAATGTGGAACATGTCAAGGAGGCTGAATACTTTCAACTGGTATTTCCATAAATTAACAGGCAAAGAAAATCATTATTTCGCAATGGGATTATTTTTTTTCTTCTCCCGGATAATTGGTCGGTGCCAATTTTATTTATAGTTTTTTCTATTTTGTTACAGCGAAAAGCCGGCTATTACCCTGGTGCTTATATATGTCCTATTGTGTTTTTTGCATATCCCAACTCCCCTTGAGACCAGCCATTATCAACGGCAACCCTGGAGCAATTAGGGTTAAGTGCCTTGCTCAAGGGCACAGACAGATTTGACCTTGTCGGCTCGGGGATTCGAACAAGCGACCTTTTGGGTACTGGCCCAACGCTAGGCTGCCTGCCGCCCATTTACTGCGCGCAGTCATATTTGGCACAATTTCTGTCAGAAGTAATAGCAAATACGTTTATTTCCCTATGCTTTAAGGCAGTGTTTTGAGATTTTCTATTTCTCACAACTTTCAGTTGCCAAGGGCTCAAAGGGTTATAATTTTGGTGAGCGAATTTCTCTTCCATGTTGTTTTGTACAGAAAAGAAGTCTTCTCCCTGCAGACATTCTAGAAGAAATTGACACAGCTCCATCAAAGTAAGTGCACATAGGCCTATACCCCAATATGCAACAATTATGATATACTTTTATATTGCCATACGGATATGAAACTAACTGTTCCTAACCCATCTCTTTAGAAAACAGAAGTTACCTGGAGCTCAAGGTAGATATGTTCTCATCACCTCACATAGTTTATTTTCAAGTAGCCGTCTCGTTTCTTCCTTATTGAAATTATAATTTAGCTTTCAACAAATTGTTAAATAATGGCTACTGCTTCAGTTTCTAAAACTAAATTGGCTTATTTTGTCCTTAATCCCAGCTGAAAGCAACAATGAAGAGGCAAGCTGTTCAGGGGAGGAGGGGAGCGAAGGATCGGAACAAGAGAAGGAGACGAAAGGATTCAAGGGAAATATCCGGAGGTAAAACTGAATTCTGGTCCCATAGGCTGAATTTATACAGGCAGCCCAATGTTGATCTTTTGACAATAATTGGGCAAAATATCATATTTGGGCTGCCTGTGTAAATGCAGCCATAAAGGCATGTCTAACATGCTACACTGGGCGTGTAACTTTTGCAGTGCGTGAGATGAGCACATTCATTTCAATGAAACCAGGGCATAAGAAGCGTGGCTCCGTAAGAGGCTTGTGGTATGCACAGGGTAAAATTACTCTCTGGTTCTATTATCAAGAATTTGACACGTGGCTCACGTCTGAGAACACTTGCTAAAGTGGCTCACGCTCTGCAAAAGTTACTAATCCAGTAAAGCAGCTAAGAACCTACTGTTTTTCGCGACGCCCCCTTTGTAGCTCCCCTGTAAGGTTTACGACTAGGCAAGCATCCTTTTGAAAAAAATCCATTCTAATGCTCCTCTAGTAGGAATGGTCCATTAATGACACACACCTCTCGTTTCAGTCTGAAGGGGAACTACAGCATAATGAGGGTGGCGGACCAATCTTCAGCCAACTCCCAACAGCAGACAGCCATGGATTTCATACAGGCCAGACTGTATGGCCCGGGAAGTCAGAGGACGACAAGTATGAACACACACCAGGGTTTCGTTAGGAAAATATGGCACTGGACATTTGACCGGCAGCATTTAAATTTAACAGACATTTGAGAAATTTAACGGACCCATATGCATTGGGTGCGTAACCCGATTAGAGCGTCCAGCCACAGTGCTCATAATGACAGATTACATTTCGATGATGGCTATTCATCTTAACAGCTGATGCAACAGATCAGAATGTTTAGCTTAAAACATTTATAAACAATTTCTTCATGAAAAGTCAATGTTCGTTCCATAGGCAAATGCAATTAGCGGAAAAACAGTTGTCAAAAGCGCACCGCACATGCGAGCGGTTTCATGTGACAGATGAAAATATCCGTTTAGAAAGAGGGGAGATCTAAAGATGCAACAATTAGCTACTGGACAACGAAATAGTTGATTTGAAAACAAATAGAATATGAGAGAAATGGGCTACTGGTTTAAATGGCATAAGGACGTCTTTATAATTGCCTCCACGTTTCTATGGTCGGATTTTACTTTGAAGCAAGGTAAGACATGCCTGATAATGAAGTAAAAGGTTCAGGATTCAAACAATTAAGGATAGGTTATTGAAATGCATACTGCCTCTAGCTCATTGAAAAGTGGTGTGACGCGCCGAAGACTGCCTACTGTTGCCTGAGTGTACAAAACATTAGGAACACCTTCCTAATATTGAGTCGCACACCCTTTTGCCCTCAGAACAGCCTCAATTCGTTGGGGCATGGACCCTACAAGGTGTCAAGCGTTCCACAGGGATGCTGGCCCATGTTGACTCCAATGCTTCCTACAGTTGTCAAGTTGGCTGGATGTCCTTTGGGTAGTGGACCATTTTTTACACACACGGGAAACTGTTGAGCATGAAAAACCCAGCAGCGGTACAGTTCTTGACACACTCAAACCGGTGCGCCTGGCACCTACTACCATACCCTGTTCACTTAAATATTTTGTCTTGCCCATTCACCCTCTGAGTGAACACATACACAATCCATGTCTCAAGGCTTAAAAATCCTTCTTTGACATGTCTCCTCCCCTTCATCTACCTACACTGATTGAAGTGGATTTAACAAGTGACCTCAATAAGCGATCATAGCTTTCACCTGGTCAGTCTGTCATGGAAATAGGTGTTCCTAATATTTTGTACACTCCGTGTATATGCACTTGAATGGCAAATGGGAAGCGCGCTTCAATTACCAGTTGAGAAATACAAATGGTAACTTTTTAATCGTGGCCATCACAACTGTTAACAGGTGATTGCATTTCGAATTATTGTGCAATGATTGGGCTTATAAAAGCACTGCACGTTTCCCTCCAGCAGCAACAAACTAGCTGTTTGAGGAGCTGTAGAAGCAGCTCTCGCACTGACAGATGTTCTGCTCATAGGCTCTGTATTTGAATGCTCTGCGCATGTAATAAACATAACGAAAATACACACGCGCCAATTTTAATTTCACACAATTATGCAAATTAACCTATAGACCGATAAGCATGACCTGTCAAATGAATTTACATCGACTGCTATTTCCATCAGTCATCAGTGAATAGGCTAAAAAGCATTATTTAGCAATGGAATTTTTCTTCTCTCTGACCATTGGCCAGCGGCAGTTTTATTTATCAGCTTTTAATTTTTGGGGGGGGCCAAATGCCGGCCATTACCGGCTAACAGAAACCATGACAAACACACGCACTCCTCACATGAAGACAAATGCACACACCAAGATTGCTTGTGTTACCCAGCTGACAGTTGTCATTCCTCTTTGTTTCCGGTATTGGATTACAATACGTATCGCCGTACACAAACCACAAACATGCCTCCGGAATCAAACAGGGCCTTATACTACGAATCAGGTTTGCGGAGTTACCGAAGTAACTTTGGTCACCTCTGATTACACCTTTTAGCCGGGTAAATTTCTATGGCAATGAATCCTTCAGAACTAGCCTGCTCCAGGGCAGGCTAACTTGCAGGGCTAACTCCATTTATCCTGAATGAAGTGTCTCAGCCACGAGTTGAGGACCAATGAAATCAGATTCCCTCCCTCTCGCAAAGATTGCATCATCATCATCCCCTTCATTTGAGTAAGATGACTGATTTTAAATATTTTATTAAATCAATGTGTTAAAGAAAACACTGAACAAAAATATAAAACGCAAAATGTAAAGGGTTTCAGACCATGGAGAAACAAGATTCTCTGGTCTGATGAAACCAAGATTGAACTCTTTGGCCAGAATGCCAAGCGCCACGTCTGGAGGAAACCTGGCACCATCCCTACGGTGAAGCATCATGCTGTTGGGATGTTTTTCAGCAGAAGGGACTGGGAGACTAGTCAGGATCGAGGGAAAGATGAATTGCACAAAGTACAGAGATCCTTGATGAAAACCTGCTCCAGAGCGCTCAGGACCTCAGACTGGTGTGAAGGTTCACCTTCCAACAGGACAACGACCCTAAGCACACAGCCAAGACAACGCAGGAGTGGCTTCGGGACAAGTCTCAATGTCCTTGAGTCACCCAGCCAGAGCCCGGACTTGAACCTGATCGAACATCTCTAGAGAGACCTGAAAATAGCTGTGCAGCGAGGCTTCACATCCAACCTGACAGAGCTTGAGACGATCTGCAGAGAAGAATGGGAGATACTCCCCAAATACAGGTGTGCCAAGCTTGTGGCGTCATTCCCAAGAAGACTCAAGGCTGTAATCGCTGCCAAAGGTGCTTCAACAAAGTACTGAGTAAAGGGTCTGAATACTTATGTAAATGTGATTTCCGTTTTTATTTTAACATTTGCCTACATTTCTAAAAACCAGTTTTTGCTTTGTCATTTTGGAGTATTGTGTGTAGATTGATGAGGGAAAAACAAAATTTAATCAATTTTAGAATAAGGCTGTAATGTAACAAAATGTGGAAAAAGTATACCCCTGTTCTAATATCAGTCATTGTTGTCTCTCTTCGCTACAGGCAATCAACTTCTCTCCCTTCAAAATAAGAGAGGCCAAAATAAAAGTGCGGCCGTGCAGTTTGTGAATAAGAAATGGGGTGAGTTTCCTACGTCCTTCAACAAGCTGTGCTTGGCTCAGCTCTTCCACAATCAATACACAATTTCTACATGGCTGCCACGACTTAAAATGCATCAGTAGTAATGTGATTGTTATAGAATTGCATCTGGCTCTTTGGGTCACACTGCTACTCGGTTTACTAAATGGTTTTGTATGTTATCTGGGAAGGATTGCTTATCTGTGATGTCATATCCTTACAGGCACAGAGAAGAAGGCAAAAGCGGAGAAGTTGAAGAAGCAATGGATTCACAAACAGAAGGTTCCCTCAAGCTGAGCAAATGGGGAAATATGGGGTGGACACCAATCGGGTAATCTCCCTTTCACTCTGCCCTGATATGAAAGCTCTGGATAGGTTGAATATTTGTGGTTATATATTAAACTAGCCTTCTGGTTTGGGCCAATGTTGGTTCCGTCACTTTGCTTTCACCCATCCAGACCATTCAGAAGCCGGATCAAGCATCTGAGAGTAGGAGTGCTGATCATGTAATTTGAGTCATTGTGATGTAAAAGGCAAAACTGATCCTGAATCAGCACACCTGCTCTGATACATATGGCCACCGATCTCAGAGTTAAGTAAATCCGTTTTTATATATTTTTGCACCTCATGTGGAATGATCTCAAACTCCTTAAAGTTGGAGCCTCTAGGGCAGTTCAGGTGGATGTTAGAGGGCCTTTTTACTGAAGAATGTGTTTGTTTCATATGATTGTGTTTTGCTTTTCATGTATGTGTGTGTGTGTGTGTATATATATATACACACACACACACTGAATAAAAATATAATTGCAACATGTAAAGTGTTGGTCCCGTGTTTCATGAGCTAAAATAAAAGATCCCAGAAATGTTCCATACACACAAAAAGCTTAATTTCTCTCATTGTGTGCACATCCCTGTTAGTATTTCTCCTTTGCCAAGATAATCCATCCACCTGAAAGGTGTGGCATATCAAGAAGCTGATTAAACAGCATGATCATTACTAGGGCTGTCCCCGACAAAAAATATATATATATTGGTAGACCGAGAGCCGTCCTGTTCTTTCGACCAATCGATTGGTTGAAATGTTTCAACTTTAATTTTTTCCATATAGTCACGCACCCTATGTGTTTGAATAAAATCAACTACATATGCACTGATCTTGTCTGATTTTGATTAAGACACAGAAATGACGGTCACACTGTGAAAAAAATGACAGCTAGTGCCTGTGTGACTGGCGCATGTTGTCTCGCCATCTTCCCTACTGCAGCGAAAAGGCAACACAGCAAGTGTTTATTGCGCTGTCCGTGCTGAAGCTGCAAGATTTCAGCCATTTAGTTTCTTGTTTGACTGAAAAGTTCTGTTTTCCCTCAACTCTTGCTCTCTTTACGTGAAACATGTAAGAATAGCATGCAACCACTAGGGCCTGACCTTTTAGCCTATCATAATCACATCAATAAATTGGTTATAACGCCGAAATCAGCAAAATGGATGCGGAGGATGTGAAAAAGAAACTCGAAACGGGCGAATGTTTACTGGTTGCTCAGGAGGGTAAGGGGAAGTCAGCTCTGCGGAAGACATTTGACTTAGTTGTGGAAACTACTGGAGATCAAGAAAAAGAAGGGTATAGGAGCAAGTGTTGAGCGAGTTATGTGTGCCAAACAGTTGCTGTTAGATTACAATATTATAATTTGTCTGATCGTTTGGAACAGTGTAAACAACACTAAATGTGTATCAGTCTGTTCCAAAAAAGAAGGAAGATAAAGCCTTTCTTACAGCAGACTAAAAACAGTTGCATGCTTTTGTGAATTGTAGTTTTATTGTTTAGGCTAATTATTCTAAGCTCCCTTTATTCATTTTAAAACAAATGCTTGATTGCATTTCAAAGCATGAATGTCTCGTATGCTGTGTGATGGCATGAACGATTGATTGATACAGTAGCCTATATATTTAAATATAGGCCTAAGTAAGTTACGGTATTAAGACTGAACAGGACACGCTCTTAAGCCTACATCTCGATGGTGGTTATACAAGGCTACTATACAAAGCCTACTAATGATAACATTAGTTATTATAATTATAATAATAACAATAAGATCAAGAAAAAGGAGGATATAGGCGCGAGAGCTGCGTGCATATGTGTGACAAACAGGTGCTGTTACGGTACAGGTGCTGCCTGTTTGGAAAACTGTAAACGCTAAATAAGTAATGGCCAGTCTGTTCTAACGGGGAAAAAATGTACATCCTTTATTACAGCATAGCAATGATTAAAAACAGCCGAATCTGTGAAATTGCTTTATCCGACATTTTGCCGTTTCATGAGGCTTGGTGCTCACGGAAGTAGGCTATTAAACAAACACTCAAAACAGGCAACAGAAGCAAGATCTGTCTCATTTCTGTAGATATATATGGATGATTTATAAAGCCAGGCACATTTAAGTTGGGATATTGATTATAGACCTAAACTTAAGTTGGTTTGCTCTCTCCTCAATTTTCTTAGACAATTAGGCGAAGGCAAGGGCTGTTTCCTCATCTCTGCTAATGCTCCCTCCGCCGCATTGTTCTCAATCCCGATATCCTGGTTAACTTTGCTATTATGTACATAGCAACATAGGGAAAGGCGCCAATTCTACGGCGCACTGAAGATTTTTTCATTACCGCGGACAGCGACCGTATCCAACGCAGGAGAAAGCACATTTGTTATAAAATATTATTTGTGTTGCATCATTTTTACATAATAACCATATACAATTTCAGTTTCACGTCTTCGAGTGATAGACTGTGCCATCCCTGTGGTCCACTAAGACGTGCGAATCAGACAGGTGTCTTGTGCACCATCAAAAAAGATTATAATAATTGCAACTACTCGACTAAAGAAATCTCGGTCGACCAAACAATCAACCAGACGACTAAATGGGGTCAGCCCTAATCATTACACCAGGTGACTTTGTGCTGGGGACAATAAAGGGACACCAAAATGTAGTCACATAACACAATGCCACTGATGTCTCAAGTTTTGAGGGAGCGCGCAATTGGCATGCTGACTGCAGGAATGTCCACCAGAACTGTTGCCAGAGAATTTAATGTTAATTTCTCTAACCATAAGCCACTTCCAACGTCGTTTTAGAGAATTTGGCAGTACGTCCAACCGGCCTAACAACCGCAAACTACATAACCACACCAGCCCAGGACCTCCACATTTGGCTTCTTCACCTGTGGGATCGTCTGAGACCAGCCACCCCTACAGCTGATGAAACAGGAGTATTTTGGTCTGTAATAAAGCCCTTTTGTGGGGAAAAACTCATTCTGATTGGCTGGGCCTATGCCCTTCCAGGCCTACCCATGGCTGAACCCCTGCCCAGTCATGTGAAATCCATAGATTAGGGCCTAATGAATTAATTTCAATTGACTGATTTCCTTATATGAACTGTAACGGAGTAAAATTGTTGCATGTTGCGTTTATTTTTGTTCAGTATAGATAAGTATAGTGCAATTGTTGTTTTATTGATGTGTTCATGCAGGGCTCCTCTGCAAAAGAGACCGTGGTCTCAGCATATGACTCCCTCGCTAAAAAAGGCCAGGGAGCAATTTCAGATTGGAATTAATCCCAAGAAGTGAAGGATGTCATCTGTAACCGCAGCCTGCATTGGACATTTCAGATTCGCCAGGTTGCCATTGAAGACAGAATCAACTGAGACCAGACTGAAGCATGTGATGAAAATGCAGCCCAAGTGGATGTGTCAAAGCCAAGTCCCAGATCTGTTTGTGCCAACTGTCATGGCACCCTATTCCCCATTTAGTGCACTACTTTGACCTGGGCCCATAGGGCTCTCGTCAAAAGTAGCGCACTGTATAGGAAAAAAAGGTACCATTTGGGACAGACATAGCTATGTAAGACTGATCTTCTGAAGATAATTTGGCCAAAGTCCCAAATGTTTCCATACTGTATATCATGCAATATGATTTCTAATCTGAAAGAACAAAACAATATAAACCACAAACTGTTTCAACAAAGTCATAAAGGAAAGAATGGTGTGTGTACTCGAACTGATAGTCAGACATTGAGGGCCGGTTTCCCAGACAGATTAGAAATACCCAATGCGTTAGTATTTACTTTTAGCCTTAACATTCTTGGGCTATATGTATCAGAGTAGGACTGCTGATCTAGGATTAGATCATCCATGTCCATATTATTCATTGTGATCTGAAAAGCAAAATGGATCCTAAATCAGAACTCCTACTCTGAGATGCTTGATATGGCCTCTGGTTGTGGTTTCGCTGCGGCTGCAAGCACTAAAACACAGTTGCAATGTCGCCTTCCTAGATGTTTTTTTTATTTATTGTAAATGTGGTAACCACAGTGCAGTTGACAATACCGTTTTATTTTCTATTTTGCTGTTGAGAGTACTAAAGGAGATCCGGTAAACAAAAACTAGTAAAGAGCAAGGCCGGGATTCAAAAGGCGCTTTGTAGACAAGCTCATTGCACTGGAACAATTAGCCTGTTAAAGGCAATGTCCCAGACACTGCGGATGTTGGCTCAAGTGCAATGCACTCATCGACTATGCGCTCGCCTTTGATTGATTCCCGGCCCAAGTCTTTCTATTGGGTTGGATGTCGTTGACAAGTGTTCTACTAACATCAAAAGCAGCCTATATGGGCTTTTCACACCTGACAATGTGCATGTTTGATGTATAGGATCATTATAGCAAATTGGTAGGTTAAAACCCTTCTCCAGGTATTGTGAAGATCTCTGCAGAATCTGGATCTGGAATCTGAATCTGGACACACCATTATCCCAAGATTTGATTAACTGGGATGGGATGTGGTTAGCTAAAAGCTATGAAAAGGCTTTGGGGGGGGGGGGGGGGGGGGGGGGTTAGCCATCACAAGCTGAGCTATGGTAAGCCCTGGGCTAGCATCAAGCTGCTGTTGTTATCCCCAAACTGCTATGGTTAGCCCCAAACTAGGACAATACCTATCCTGGGAGGCTAACATTCATCAAGAGAGCTCAGGCGGTAGCACAAGGCTAATCTGCTAAACATTTTGGGTGATTTAAAAGTCTGAAAAGCCCTTCATTGCAGTGTACAGAGACACATTCGATTAGAACTTATTAACTAAGACGGGATCTTAGCAGTCAAAATGAAGGAGAAAGGGCTTATGGCTCCTGAGTTCTTTGTGGGTAAAGGATTTACGATAGACATGACTGAATACATTAGATAATTAAAACATGTCATAACATTGCATCAAACCTGCTGTGCAGTTGGGAAAACTGAGGTCGGGTCAGGTACTGGGGTAGCCATGGAAAGGGTTAACTCAACTTCTCAACCACAGTAACAAAGTTTCGACAGTCTCTCTACTAACACCACAAAGGATTCTTCCACTGTCAGTGTGAAGCTTTGAGTGTACATATTCTTTTCATATTGTTTCCTTTTGGTAGCTAAATATCTAATTATTGATAGAATTCATTTTATTCATAGAAATGTTAACATGTACACACGCTGACACTTGTCACTAGTAAGGAGTGGTGGGATTGGGACCTTTATTTGGTGGAATTCACTCTTGCCGGCGCGCAACAAATATACTGTGTATGCAAGTAAGAATAATATAATAATTAGCTAGAATAATAATCATCACCACCATGCCTTTTAAACCAGGAAGAGTTAACAAACAGAACCTACCCACCTCCCACCTACTGCCCCTCCCCAAAATAAACACGATTTTTTTTTAAGAAAGAAAAAGACAAAAAGTTAGTACTCTGGATTCTCTCACTGGCTTCTTCAAAATCTTGAGTCCACATGCATCACCAGTCACTGATGCCATGGGGTTTGGGTGTCGTCTTTTGCACCACCAAGGAGTTGGTTTCTCGAGGTGGGATCGGCTAGCGTACTCTGCAAACCCAGGTGCAAATGCACTAGAATGGGTCAGAATACTCACGTCTTCTGTGGTTATATCGGCCCGCCTTGCCTGGTTGGTCAGGGGGTTTAAATGGAGCACATTTTTGGTTGGCAAATGTGGAGTGTCAACATATGTCGTTGACTGTGGGTTGGTGTTGTGCGGTCACTGGAAAGCCGTTCCTTGTTCTTCAGACCAGGGTGGTCCACCTTTGCCCAGTAGTTTGGGATATGAAAACCCTGCATGGTTTGCCACAGTCACACAGATCAGGGAGGTGAATTTACTAGTTGGCTAATCTGCAATTTCTTCCCTCTCCCTATCAACCAAAATTATGTGGGCAGGCTTGCGTGACTGCATCAGGGTTCCCGTGAGACTTGGGCGACGTCCCGATTCTCGACCCTATCCCAAAAGAGTGCACTCGTACACTCCCCCTCATGGATTTCAAAGGAATGGACTGGTGTGAGGAATATGGTGAAAACTCCCTCCAGGCATGCCCGCACCAATCCAATGCTTTTAAAAGCATGAGGAGTGAACACTTCGGGAGGAGGGTTGGAGAATCTGAACGCAGCCTAGGCTAGCCCGGGGAGTAGAGGGATCCAGATTGAGTTGTGTGGAGGTGGGGGGGACCTGTGTGTGTCGGGCTAGTGCAGGTAATCGTCCACAGCAGCGAAGGCGCAGGAGCCGCTGCCAGAGTGTGCCATGATGGACAGGCACTGGGCGGCCTGTCCCACAGCTTGGGCCAGAGGGGGCTGCTTGGGCAGGTTATGAGTCTCTGGGGGGAGAAAGGACAGCTATGTAAGATAACATAACACACCCATAGGCAATGCATAGCTACTATTTTGTGGAAGTGTTAAGGACACTGCTAAATGAGTAACTTGGGGGGCTGCGTGAGGGCATTTGTGTGCACAACTTATTAAATCTGCAAGACTGATTCAACACCAATTTTCTAGGTTCATACATTTCTAACATCGTTGGGCAATTCATTACACGTCATATCCATGACATAGGCCTAGTAGCTAAGGACACCGCTAAATAAGTAAATAGTCAGTACTACATAGTACATCCATAGGCAATGCATAACACCTTCACATACACAAAACAGTAGCCATGGACACCGCCAAATGAGTAACTTGTTCACCATGACTCAAATCCTAACAAATGTCAAGGACTGATCAATGGAAAGAATGGCAGTCATGACCACGTTGGCAATTAACCTCTCCCATTTTCAAAGGAAAACGATTACGCCCCGGTCACCGAAAAGCTATACAGAATTAGCATTATTGTTACAGAACCAGCATTAGTTCTAATCAAAATGCTAAATTTACAGGGCCGGTTTCCCGGACAGAGATTAAGCCAAGTTCTAGACTAAAACGCATGTTCAATTGAGATTTTCCATCAAAAGTGCTTCTTAGTCCAAGACTAGTCTTAAATCGGTGTCTGGGAAACCGCCCAAGAGTGTATTCCCCAATGATGTACAACACTCGACTGCTGGCCAAGGAATTGGCTGAGGAGGCGCTCTGAAGTGTACCTACCTAGTATTGCACTGTTGAGTGTGGAACACACCGGTTCCCTCTGGATAGAGTCCATCTGATAGCCCACTGGGCTAGTCCACGGGTCCGAGTAGGCCAACAGACTGAATGCATCCTACAGAGGGAGAGGGGAAGAGATAAGGGACATAGAAATACATTGACCAGGGACAAGAGAGAGGAAAAAAGACAGCCAAGAAGAATGTAAAAAACAGTGCAGGGAAAAATAAGTGGGGAAAGGCAGGGTAGGAGAAACAGCAGTGGATGAGAGATGGAAGTAGTGTGTCAAGTAAGGTACAGTAACCTCATTGTACAGTAAGTTCAAAGTTGACATAACTGATCAGCGGTCATACACTGAACAAAAATGTAAATGCAACATGTAAATTGATGGTCTCGTATTTCATGAGCTAAAGAAAATACATAAAATAATTAATAATTTTTAAAAAAATCACAGAAATTGTCCATACGCACAAAAAGCTTATTTCTCTCAAATGTTGTGCACAAATTTGTTTACATCCCTGTTAGTGAGCATTTCTCTTTTGCCAAGATAATCCATCCACCTGACAGGTGTGGCATATTAAGAAGCTGATTAAACAGCATGATCATTACACAGGTGCACCTTGTGCTGGGGACAATAGAAGGCCACTTTAAAATGTGCAGCCCAGGACCTCCACATATGGCTTCTTCACCTGCGGGATCGTCCGAGAGGGGGGTGGGGGGTGCTGAGGAGTATTTCTGTCTGTAATAAAGTCCTTTTGTGGGGAAAAACTAATTATGATTGGCTTGGCCTGGCTCTCCAGTGGGTGGGCCTATGCCCTCCCAGGCCCACCCATGGCTGCACCCCTGCCCAGTCATGTGAAATCCATAGATTTGGGCCTAAGGAATTTCTTTCAATTGACTGATTTCCTTATATGAACTATAATTTAGTAAAATCTTTGAAATTGTTTCGTTTATATTTTTGTTCAGTATATTAGCAGCACACTACCACCACAGCTAAGAGAAATGCTGCTTTGTGATTGAGATATTGTAGGTAGTTATCGGCTAATCGCAGCGCTGCATTGTTAGACGTAGTGTGACGTACACGCAAAACATTCGCAGCAAAATGTACATCCAAGGTTTTACAGGTATTACGTCGGGCTTTTTATCTGAAGTTGTTTGAACATGATTGATGGAGAGTACCTTGAGCATCTTCTTGTTGACCGAGTTCTTGCCGCACTCTCGGCGTAGGTGCTCACTCATGCTCTGGAGCTCCCGGCCAAAGTGGATCATCCTCTCGATGGCCGCCTGGCTTCCCCCGCACAGCTGCCTCTTGGACTGGGCCGACTCCACCTCTGTGGACACAGAACCAATCAAACATGCACGTCACACATGAGGACATACCATTCAGCCACTCAGAGGGTTGGTTTTGAAAGCAGAGATGATAGAGTCAATCATGTCAGTTGTAGACCATATTTCTTTGTGAAAAAGTACATTCCATGGGAATATAGTTCTTTTTAAAAAGGTGCAATCTGGGAATCTGCAATGATAATTTCAATTTTTGCTATATACATTTACATTTTAGTCATTTAGCAGACGCTCTTATCCAGAGCGACTTACAGGAGCAATTAGGGTTAAGTGCCTTGCTCAAGGGCACAGACAGATTTTTCACCTAGTCAATTCTTGAATAATAAGTTATAAATGCCTCATGAGTTTAGCACAACTCTTATTGTAACCCCCAAAATAAGATGCATTACGCCATTGTTTACAAACAAGAAGAATGGAAACAATGTATAGCTTCAAAATGTTGTTAAAACTATCACTATGGATGTCATAGCCTGTCACTCACCCATGTCTGCGTCACAGTCCTCGGTCTGGGCTCCGTGTTTGGAGGTGCCATTGAAGGAGGACTCGGTCACTCCGTTGGTGAAGTGGTCAACCTCCATGTCCACATCAGTACTGGGGGGGGGGGGGGGGGGGGGGGTGAAACAGTAGGGGGACAATCGGCATGTTTGAGGGGATCAGTTTGAGAAAAGCGAGGCACAGTGACAAATATATACATTTTATTTTTGACAATAAACATACATAGACAAAAACAATAAGACAACTTAACATTTACATACATTAATGACATCACACTTGCTCAGACCCACATGTTTCCAATGCTTGGAAGTCTCAGCCCCATATGACTTGAGTTAATGTTGTTTGTCTTTAACCCAAAAAAATGTAATATTTCAATAAAGCATTTGATTCTTCCATTCTCGTAACATTGGAGTATCATTTGATTTCTAGTACTTATAATCTTGATAACATCAATGAGTAGTTATTAGGGATGCAAGCTCATTTGTAAAATCAGAAGTTTTGTGCAGTCCCACTGCAATGTAGCCGATCTTAAACCTGCTTTTTTTTTTATTATGTGATACGTTGTGTCAATACCTTGTTTTGCTGGTAGATGTTAAGCAGGCTGTGCAAGACTGCATAGTGTTGGGTATATACAGTTTCATAAAAAAATGTGTATCTAGTGTTTGATGCAGGTTGAGGCGTTGCAAGCTACCTAGTATTGAGTATGTGTTTGATGCGTGTTCAGTTCCTGGTGTTTTGGACATTTGTTCAGTATCTAGTAGTGTGTGTGTTCAGTACTGGATTTTGTTTTGTATGTTCAGTACATAGCCTTATGCGCATGTTCAGTACATTATAGGCTTGTGCATGTTCAGTACCTGGCGTTGGGCTGCTGCAGGCTGTGGCTGCCATTGAGGGAGCTGAGCTCAGCAGCGGGGGCAAGGAGGGCTGGGCTCGGTGGGCAGGACTTGTGACTGTGGGGGGAGGGGTAGGCCTTACTGGACATCACCCCATTACAACAGCCACCGTCAAACCCTGGGGAGCAACCAGGACAGTCAGTCAGTGAAAAACGCCATACAAAACACAAACAAACAAGGAGAATGGCAAGCTAAAGTATTTGACGAAATGTATTTGATCCAGGACTTCATTACGGTATGCAATGGAGAATGTTTAGAAACGTTTTGCAACAAAACAACCTGTTGCCTAATGAACACAAAATATAAAAACGCAACATGTAAAGTGTTCGTCCCATGTTTCATGAGCTGAAATAAAAGACCCCAGAAACTTTCCATACGCAAAAAAAGCTTCTCTAAAATGTTGTGCACAATTATTATTTTTTACATCCCTGTTAGTGAGCATTTCTCCTTTGCCAAGATAATCCATCCACCTGACAGGTGTGGCATATCAAGAAGCTGATTAAAACAGCATGATCATTACACAGGTGCACCTTGTGCTGTGGACAATATAAGGTCACTCTAAAATGTGCAGTTTAGTCACACAACACAATGCCACAGATGTCTCAAGTTTTGAGGGAGCCTGCAATTGGTATGCTGACTGCAGGAATGTCCACCAGAGCTGTTGCCAGATAATTGAATGTTAATTTCGCTGTTTTAGAGAATTTGGCAGTACGTCCAACCGGCCTCACAACCGCAGACCATGTGTAACCACGCCAGCCCAGGCCCTCCACATCCGGCTTCTTCACCTGTGGGATCGCCTGAGACCAGCCACCCGGACAGCTGATGAAACTCTGGGTTTGCACAACTGAAGAATTTCTGCATAAACTGTCAGAAACCCTCTTAGGGAAGCTCATCTGTGTGCTCGTCCTCACCAGGGTCTTGACCTGACTGCAGTTCGGCGTTGTAAACGACTTCAGTGAGCAAATGCACACCTTCAATGGCCACTGGCACGCTAGAGAAGTGTGCTCTTCATGGATGAATCCCGGTTTCAACTGTACTGGGCAGATGGCAGACAGCGTCTATGGCGTGTGTGGGAGAGTGGTTTGCTGATGTCAATGTTGTGAACAGAGTGCCCCATGGTGGTGGTGGGGTTATGGTATGGGCAGGCATAAGCTACGGACAACGAACACCATTTAATTTTATCGATGGCAGTTTGAATGCACAGAGATACCCTGATGAGATCCTGAGGCCCATTGTCGTGCTATTCATCCGCCTCCATCACCTCATGTTTCAGCATGATAATACATGGCCCCATATCGCAAGGATCTGTACACAATTCCTGGAAGCTGAAAATGTCCCAGTTCTTCCATGGCCTTCATACTCAGACATGTCACCCATTGAGCAGGTTTGGGATGCTCTGGATCGAAGTGTACGACAGTGTGTTCCAATATCCAGCAACTTCGCACAGCCATTGAAGAGGAGTGGGACAACATTCCACATGCCACAATCAACAGCCTGATCAACTCTATGTGAAGGAGATGTGTCGCGCAGAATGAGGCCAATTGTGGTCACACCAGATACTGACTTTTTTTTTTTTTATGCATCTGTGACTAACAGCTGCATAACTGTATTCCCAGTAATGGGAAATCCACAGATTAGGGCCTAATGAATTTATTTCAATTGACAAGATTTTTGTTCAGTGTATCATATACCTGTGAGGTAGGCCTGGGAGCCACTGGCTTTGTGTCTGGGGCTGCTGAAGGGGCGGGGCGAGCCCGTGTAGCTGTCCTGGGACTTGGGGCTGCGGCCCCCCAGGCATCGCACCTCGCTGTCCGTCCCGTTCACCATCTCGATGAACTGTCTCACCCTGAGAGACAGGGGGAGGGTTACAAAAGATTAGGCCTAGCCAATACGACCTTCAAACCGTCAACCACCACATTCAAAATACAGAATCAAGTACAGAAATACCAACAGACAACCAAATATACAAGGCTGCACATCAATGTAGTCTTGCCATTAAAGGGTCAGTTCAGGAATTTACAACCACTTCCAGGGTGAGGAACCATCTAACACCAAGTTGTAATATGAAATCAAATTTTATTTGTCACATGCGCCAAATACAACTGGTGTAGACCTTACCGTGAAATGCTTACTTACAAGCCCTTAACCAACAATGCAGTTCAAGAAAGAGTTAAGAAAATATTGACTAAATAAACTAAAGAAAAAAAAAAAAGTAACAATAAAGAGGCTATATACAGGGGGTACCGGTACCGAGGTAATTTGTACATGTAGGTAGGGGTAAAGTGACTATGCATAGATAATAAACAGCGAGTAGCAGCAATGTGGGGGGGGGTCAATATAAATAGTCCAGGTGGCGATTTGATTAATTGTTCAGCAGTCTTATGGCTTGGGGGTATCCTGAACTTCCCCTTAAGAGGTACAGTTCCTAAATGTGACAAAACTGCCTATCCCTCACAGTTACTCACTTCAGCATAAATAAGAGGTTGGGGTTACTCTCCAGTAGGCTGGGGTACAGCTGTTGGGTGGTCTCGATGGCCTCTCCCATTCTGCCTGACAACACCAGCTTCTGGATCTCTGCAAGCACATCCCATTTACATTCATTCACATATTGGGAAGAGACTTATTGTGTGGCATGGCATTTCCCAATTTGTCTCCCAGAGTCCAAGAGCGTCAACATTTTAAAAAGTGTTATGGACAATCCTTTATTCTAGGCCCATTCCATTTTACCCCTAGCCTCTAGGCAGACGTGTCCCTTAGCAATATTTTAATGGCTCCACCTATGCCAACAACTACCCATCTAGCCTTTTAACATGTTGTGAATGTAGCATATACATTCTAAAAATATACTCAAAGTCAATGACAGGACACACCCTAAGCCCATTGTTCACGCACACAGGACTCACTCTGTCGGTTTTTAATGGAGGCCAGCTCCTCATGCACAGCCTGGTCTGTGGATTTGGCAAAGGCTTCGGCTGTGGCACAGTAACTATGGTGGACCAGGTAGGATGCCACCATTCTGTGGAGACAAAGAGGTGGGAGAAACATAACAGTTCAGAAAGAGAATACAAATAATGATATGCTGCCTTCAAATGCTGTTGGGAATTCGGAAATACGAGGTTCAGACTCAGAAATAACCACTTAAACAACCCTCCAAGTCTACATTTCAAGTGGGAAAATTGGATAAATTTGATAGTTTATGAGTAGTGACATTTCAGCAGTGACCTTTCACCTTTTCAACCAAAAATGATAAAACAAAGCAATTTTTTACATGTCAAATTTTGACAATGTGGATAATGTAGCTAGTTTGAACATAATGCCAATGTTAGCAAGCTAGCTAACTTTAAGAACGTCAGAAAATTATTTAAATGAATTGTTCTGACTTCAAAATCACTTGAACACAATCACGTCGTATTTACGCCTTCACAACTGAGAAATACGAGATTCGGAGGAGCATTTAAAGGCAGCAATAATACAAGTCAAACCAGTTGCAAAGGCGGATGGGAAATGTAGTTTCCCCGTTTCCCTTGGTGTGTACTGCAACAAGGGAAGGTACTTACTTCTGGATCATGGACTGCCACTCTCCCTCCCTGTCCCCTATGGGGAACCTGTCGATCTGGGCCTGGATCTTAGTCCGCCACTCGCGCATGTAGTCTTCGATGTCGAACACAAATGGGTGCTGGCCAAAGTTGGCGTCCACCACCTCCCCAGGGGTCTGCAGCCCCACTGTGGGGTACAGGTTGGGCTGGGACACAAAATGGATGAGAGGACAATGCACTCAGGTGATTTATTATCTTTAAAATGTTGGATGTATGGTTCAAACATATACAGTACCAGTCAAAGGTTTGGACACACCTACTCATTCCAGGGTTTTTCTTTATTTTTACTATTTTCTACATTGTAGAATAATAGTGAAGACATCAAAACTATGAAATAACACATATGGAATCATGTAGTAACCACAAAAGTGTTAAACAAATCAAAATATATTTTTGATTCTTCAAAGTAGCCACCCTTTGCCTTGATGACAGCTTTGCACACTCTTGGCATTAAGAGTGTGCAAACGTGCCTTGGCATGCCTAAGGCACGTTTACGCAGATGAGCAGGGACCCTGGGCATCTTTCTTTTGGTGTTTTTCAGAGTCAGTAGAAAGGCCATTGTAGTGTCCTAAGTCTTCATAACTGTGACCTTAATTGCCTACCGTCTGTAAGCTGTTAGTGTCTTAAATGACCATTCCACAGGTGCATGTTCATTAATCATTTATGGTTCATTGAACAAGCATGGGAAACAGTGAAGATCTGTGAAGTTATTTGGATTTTTACAAATTATCTTTGAAAGACAGGGTCCTGAAAAAGGGCAGTTTCTTTTTTTGCTGAGTTTAGGTCAAGGAGCAGAGTTGACACCAGGGGTGTATTCACTAGGAACCAATCGGGCCGAAACTGGGAGGGGACCTACCCGAATTTGTCCCCTTAAGAAACGTGTGTTTTTGTTTTCCGTTGCAAAACATTTCACTACAGTGCGCAATAATGAATACACTCCAGTGCAGGACAGCTTGGTTTATAAGGAGCAGATAAACAAAAACATAGAGACATGGTTCAGTATCCTATATACACTGTACCTTTGTTTAACTGGCAGAGTTTGGGTCAAAAGCATTTTACGTTGTTAACTGTGTTTGAGCCAGTGTCAGACCAGGTAGCTATTACTCTTTCCAAAGTCAAGACATCATTTATTGATAAAACAGAGCAGAATTTGCCATCCATCGAGTAAGACTCAACCATTACTTGCATGGGAGGCAACTCAATATTAGGAAGGTGTTCCTAATGTTTTGTACACTCAGTGTATATGGCAAGGTAAACGATCCCGGATAAAAATGTACAAAGAGGGAAAGACGTAGGCGGACTATCCGTACCAAACTTAAAATTGTATTTCCATGCACATTTCGCCCCATCTTAAACTGGTTTAGACATGATTCTTCCACATGATTCTTATTGCCCTGGAAGAGGTGGTCTTCACTGATATAACCCTTATACAATGTAAACTACGCTTTGGTGCCATTATTGCTCACAATTTCGATTTGGCGCAACATTTAAAAAGCTAGCTATTTAAAAAGTATGGTCCACTTATCTAATTGAATCTGAACCACCCTTTATTCCCTGGAACAGAATATGGAAAAATATGACCTTGGCATCCCTTAATCCAAACCACCAACTTATACATTTTAAGTTTGTTCACAGACTGTATTTAACACCAAGGAAATGTTTTACAATGAAATTTGCCCAAACTGTTCACTGTGTCCCCTAAATCTGGTAGGCACATTACTTCATATGATGTGGGAGTGCCCTGCAGTTAAATGCTTCTGGGACAAAGCTACAAAATTAATTTAGAAGTGCATGAGGGGGGGGATAATGGGTTATCTTTGTATGCATTTATGTGATTGTTTTTGTACCTGTGCACTTCTGAAAAAGAAAAATTACAAAACTGAATAAAAAGGTTGGTCACAAAAAAAAAGCATTTTACATTCCAGGCGGTTCAGGAAATTACGTGGAAGTCATGGAATGTGAGTTTTATATTGGCATATTCAATAAATAAATAAATATATATATTTTTTTATAATATCCCATGACCACTTGGGTTGCATTCTCATTGGGCATACTCTGGTAGTTCCCTCCCCGTTTCATGCCTAATAAACATGACCCTGGAGTTAGCAGCGGAGGGATTTCTCAAAGCCTGTTTCATGGTCTAATAGAGAAAGGTCAGCTCTAGTGGAGTTGACGCACATCACCGTAGAGCCCAGAGAAACATGAATGCTGGCTTGCGGCCAACAGTTTCTGCTCAATGGATTATTGTTTTGGCTAAAGCGGTCTTATTTTATCCCCAAACAAGCGGCCATTCTGCTGGTAGGGGGACAGCGCAGCCAGCGCTCTCCCCCGCCTCAGTGCAGTGAAAACATGCAGTGTAAATTGCAAATTTACACTGCATATTTTTTTTTATATCAGGTCCTCCAGGCAGCAAACATCATTCAAAATATGCATTCTTTACATTAAAGCTACAGTGTGGGATTTGGGAAGCTGTGCAATGTTATTTCAATTCTTGATATTTATCCATTGATTCTTGAAGAATTTAATGTATAAATGTCTTATGAAATTAGCACAACGGTCTTTATCATAATCCAAAATATCACATTTTATTACTCCATCCATTGTTTACAAACAACAAGAATGTAAACAAACGAGGTATAGCTTCAAATAGGGGTCAAACTATCTCTTGGATGTCATGGAATGTTCGTCCATGCATTTAGAGTGCGGTCAATGAATGAGAGGGATTACATTTCCCTAACCCCATCTCTCAGCTCAGCTGTGTACCAAAACAAGTGGCAGGGATGCCGTTTTCTTGTTTTTTGAATCCCAGAATGTAGCTTTTAAAGATAAAATGGCCAGAGGGATAATACTTACCGGTAGATCTGTAAAGGCTATTCCTAGAGTACAGGAGAGAAGATTTAAAAAAAAAACATCAACATACATTTCTTCATCTCTGACTGAATATCCTATTTTGGGTACAGGAATGCATGGTGCAGCATATCAATTCTATTCAAACCATGATGTTCAATTTGACATAAAATGTTGTCTAAAATAAATATTAAAGGGTGAGATGAAATTGTGATATGCAAAGAAAATAAAGTATAGAAATGTGCCTTTATGAGTCCAATTATTTAGACCAGGATGAGAGAGAACAATGTTGTGTCGCGTGTTTACATGTGGTGTTGTTGTTGGTTGATAGTGATATGTTGTAAAGAAATGATTGGTAATAAATAAATAAAAGGGTAGAGTTTCCTTCACTTTTGTCTGCATAGTACTGCTGTGTATACCTATGCCATGCATGGGTATTGTGAACAACTGACTTCTGGTATAAGGAGAACTTTCCGGACCCAAATGCCACCTAGAACATTTTCCGGATCCAAACGCCACTAGAACTAGCCTAAGAGACCTTTTCATCCAATTTAGGAAATCACCCAAATTACGCCACAAGAAGTTCACCAACTGAATGCCACACCTTAAGTTCCATCGTGACAAAAATATGAATTATATTTTATGTTCTACAGGTGTGTTCCGTACCTAAGCTGTGGCCATTCTTTGTGTAGAAGCAGGTGTTGTTGATGAGGTTGACGCAGCAGCCAATCACGTCGCCTGTAGTGAACGTGGGGCCGTAGGGCTGCCCCGTGCCGGAGGAGCAGAACGAGTGGCCGTCATCTCCGTGGTAACCATACGAGTGTTTGTCCCAACCTGAGAATAACCATACAGACAACATTGTCGTCACTCTGAAAGATGATGCCTTGACTTAAGCGCAACATGTAAAGTGTTGGTCCCATGTTTCGTGAGCTAAAAAATACAAAAAATAAATCCCCGAAATGTTCGTCCAACTTGCCTCACAACCGCGGGCGGGGGGTGCTGAGGAGTATTTCTGTCTGTAATAAAGCCCTTGTGGGGAAAAATGTATTCTGATTGGCTGGGCCTGGCTCCCCAGTGGGTTGGCCTGGCTGCCAAGTGGATGGGCCTATGCCCTCCCAGGCCCAACCATGTCAAATCCATAGATTAGGGCCTAATGAATTCATTTCAATTGACAGATTTCCTTATATGAACAGTAACTCAGTCAAATATTTGAAATTGTCGCATTTATATTTTTGTTCAGTATAAGTACCACTTTCCTCTATAAGATAACACCTTATTAAACCCCAAAGATGACATTTGTACTAGCCAATACATACAGCACCAATAAAAATACAATAATGGACATAGCTACTAGAAGAATCACATCACCAATGCATCTTAAAGCCTCATAGCAGAAGATAAGGATGATCAGTCTTACACCTGGGTAAAATATAGGCCTATCAATCTGCCATGGCACTGGTTAGAAGCGCACATTTATTTTAGTATAGGTTTTTAAAGCTCTGGCCTAACAATATTTATGCTAATTATTTATCCTTATAAGGTCTCTGCTATAATGTCAAAATAATGTAAGAATATTTTCTCATTTGAATCTCATGCGTGTATTAGGTTTCCTAAGCATTAGCCACGTTACATTTGACACTGTTCTGTGGGTCACAAAGCTACTAACAGTTTCATTTAGCAATTAGCTCGTTTTAACAACTAGCCATTTGTGATTACTTAGCCATGATCTGGCACTGCTCGGTCTGCTGTGTTATCAGACTGCGCTGCATTGCTATGCTGTGGCTCTTTGCTGGGCACGCCCTGTATCCTGACTGGTATAAAAGTGTTAAAGGCTGCATCCCAAATGGCAGCCTATTTCCTATATATAGTGCACAACTTTTGACCAGAGCATGTGCAGCTCTGGTCAAAAGTTGTGCACTATATAGGAAATAGGCTGCCATTTGGGATGCAGCCAGTGTCAGAGAGAGAGAGACACCCTGCACTGCCAGATAAACCCCCCCCCTGTGAGGAGTGCACGCCAACATGTCACCCTGTCCCAACGGTGTCATGTCAGGCCAGAGAATAAGCAGCCTGTCTGGCTTGTAAGGGCACACCCACACATTACAAATACATTCACACATGAGTTTCAGACAATACATACTCAGAGAATAGACAATCCACTGAAACACACACCAAGCTTATGTTCATCACCAGCACGTCTTCCAGACAATACACACACAAAAAGACAAATTCACATAATGCCCCATCACAGACCGGGACAAGTCACAAACCAAAATGGTCTTCGACACACCTGAAGACCGAGGCAGTCAACATTGACACGCACAAGCTATAGCTTTCAACAGTGTCACCTTACCAGGGAGTCTGTTCATGTTGACACCTTGAGCCGAGAGACCGATACCCATGTACCTGATAAACAGAAAGAGAGCAGGGTCAAAATTGTGATGGATCCAGGCATGTTAACGGTTTCATAATGTATGGGTTCCTCTGGCTACGGATATCTAAACTGCCTCAAGGGAACTTTATGAATCTTCGCAACATGATAGACACCCTCATGCAAAAGGTCAATTCCTAACTGTCCAGAGATGTTATCAGCACAACAATGGAAATCAGGGGTGTGTTCATTTGTGCACAACATAGCGAAAGTTTGATTGCAAATGAAAAAGTGTGTTTCTTAGACAAATTCAGGTTAGTCCCTCCCTGTTTTTGTTCCGTTTGGTTCTTAGTGAATACACCCTAGGAAAGAGTTGATAGGTCGATTAGTTGGGGTGGGGGGAATCTAATCTCTGAACCGTTAACCATTACATGGAACTGATGAGATAACCTTTTGTTCAATCGAGGTCAACTGTAGACTATGATTAGTGAAGTCAAAAGGGGTTTGCGTGGGTAGAGCCCAATGTGGGTGTGTGGTGCCCAATTCTGTGCGTCCATCTTACCCATCTCGGCCTTTACTGATGATTTTCACCTCAAAGTAGTAGACCCCGCAAGCGGCTGGGATGGGATGAGTGGCTCGTACGGATGCCGCATCTTTGGGGGTCTTTCCATGACCTGTGGGTGGAGGGAAGAGATGGCATGAGTGAAACAAGACACCCTGTAATCCAATTCAACCCATAGCTCTTACCCAGTAGGCACTGCTGTAGATCTGAAACAATTGGATAGGCGTAAGTAATATGGCAGAAATGCCCCCTGGCCAATCAGACGGCAACAATTACAACTACCATAATGCTTAAACCTATCAGACCATTTCAAACCTACTAGAATGGCGAGGGGGGTGGGCGGAACAATTGGAATTCAGCATTAGCAGTCAGTGCATATTTCAGTTTCTTTAGGCGTGGATTGAGACGCAAAACGGTAGGTGAACAGAAAAAAGCCTATCCCCGCAACATGGTTTTCCCCTAGTGCTGAGCGATTAGTGCTTGAGGTCGATTCAGTTCGATAAAACAAATATAGTCACCGTTTTCAATTTCAATAACTTTTTTCAACATTAAATGCACTATGCATTTTGATTACACAAATGATTACTATTATTTCATTCCAAGTTATCATCTCATCTCTATAGAACTGCTGCCTATGCTGTGACAAAATCACTTCAAAGTAAATAAGGTATACTTTTATGAAAGCTGAATACTAACTATCAAATAATTTAGATAATGTATTTTCAGGTAGAGATACCTTGAAGCAACTGCTCTCTATATCCCTCTCAATTGGGCATTCTTCGGTCTTCTCTCTCTCCTTGTCTGCGCCACACTAACCTAACAAAGCAGGCGTAAAAGAAACAAACCGGACAAGTAGGCGCGCAATGGATTATGGTAATTGTAGTTCATTACCATGTTGTCTGAGCATCTTTAATTTTGGAAGGGGAGGGGATATTTGGCCCATAGAATTGCCTGAAACTGGCAGAGAATTGGCATTTAGGACACCCAGAAGACATAAGTATCATGCACTGTCTGTAAGTCATCAGAAACTATGTTAACCCTGGCATGGAGTCCATTCACACCTGTGTGACACTAGCCACAATAACGATTACCCACAATAGCGGAATTTGCGATTCACCTTTAAAATAAAAGTCCCCCCTTGAAACTGAGGCAAACTGATTCAAATAGTGGAATAACGCCATATACAGTGCCTTCGGAAAGTATTCAGACCCCTTGACTTTTTCCACCTTATTAGGTTACAGCCTTATTCTAAAAATGATTAAATTAAGAAGAAAAAATATCCATCTACACACAATACCTCATAATGACAAAGCAAAAACTGGTTTTTAGAAATTGTTGCAAAAAAATTAAAACTGAAATATCACATTTACATAAATATTCAGACCCTTTACTCAGTACTTTGTTGAAGCACCTTTGGCAGCGATTACAGGCGCAAGTCTTCTTGGGTATGACTTTCCAAGCTTGGCACACCTGTATTTGGGGAGTTCCTCACATTCTTCTCCGCAGATCCTCTCGAGCTCTGTCAGGTTGGATGGGGAACGTTGCTGCACAGCTATTTTCAGGTCTCTCCAGAGATGTTCGATCGGATTCAAGTCCAGGCTCTGGCTTGGCCACTCAAGGACATTGAGACTTGCCCAGAAGCCACTCATGCGTTGTCTTGGCTGTGTGCTTAGGATCGCTGTCCTGTTGGAAGGTGAACCTTCGCCCCAGTCTGAAGTCCTGAACACTCTAGAGCAGGTTTTCATCAAGGATCTCTGTACTTTGCTCCATTCATCTTTCCCTCGATCCGGACTAGTCTCCCAGTCCCTGCCGCTGTAAAACATCCCCACAGCATGATGCTTCCGCCACCACCACCACGCTTCACCGTAGGGATGGTGCCAGGTTTCCAAAGAGTTTAATCTGGGTTTCATCAGACCAGAGAATCTCGTTTCTCATGGTCGGTCTTTAGGTGCCTTTTGGCAAACTCCAAGCGGGCTGTCATGTGCCTTTTACTGAGGAGTGGCTTCCGTCTGGACACTCTGCCATAAAGGCCCGATTGGTGGAGTGCTGCAGAGATGGTTGTCCTTCTGGAAGGTTCTCCCATCTCCAGAGGAACTCTGTTACTCTGACAGAGCTCTAATCAGGTTTTTGGTCACCTCCCTGACCAAGGCCCTTCTTCCCAGATTGCTCAGTTTGTCCGGGCGGCCAGCTCTAGGAAGACGCCAAAATAAAATGTACATTTATTTATTTTTTATGATAAGGGAAGCATTGAAATAGCGCACATAAACAGATCTACCGCTTAGACTTGCGTTCAAAAGAATGACAGATCTAACTCACATTTCTATGTGAATTTTGTCAGGTCGCCCAAAAAGTTCCATATTGCAGCTTTAAAGTCCCACAATAAGGGCAACGACGCTAATATTGATGTAAACAGTTGTGTTCTGTGGAATGCCAGATGTCAATGCCGGCATCCCACAGAACACAACTGTTTACATCAATATTAGCGTCGTTGCCCTTATTGTGGAAGCTAATGTGGCTCAGTTCACACCGGTGTCAAAGTCCCGCAATTAGTGCTACAACATTAATATTTGTGTACACTCCTCAGTTGTGTTCTGTGGGTGACACGGAGTAGACTGATACCCCATTTCATGGACCCAAGATCCATAGGTAATGCTGTACATTGCTCGCCTGGCTACCGAGACTCCTTGCTCCAGTCAAACGCTACGCCCACAGACGTTAGTTTCTTTTCTTCAAAGAGTCTGGATCGGAGTAACTCCCCGATCCTTCACCGAACATGGACACAGTCGGGGCCGTCTGATTGTTCCAGAAGCCGATGGGTTGAGCCAGAGCCAGAACACACGTGGGTAAAGCTGCAGTTTGAAAACTCATGGGCTTTGATACTCTGATTGGTTAGAGACAAGCCAATCGCTGAGGACTTTTTGTACAATGCCCCTCGTGCCCTTTGTCACCAAAAATTACTTCAATGATGGCAGTCTTACACTCAAGTATGTAGCGAACGATAGAGCAGCAGAAGAATTTAGTGTGAGTCGCCAAGGCACTTTACCCTAATTGCTTCTGTAAGTCACTCTGGATAAGAGAGTCTGCTAAATGGCAAAATAGAAAAAGTCAGTCAGTACATTGCAATATGAATGTCAATACGCACCTTTCTTTCGCATTTAACCCAACCCCTCTGAATTTGAGGTGCGGGGGTTCTGCCTTAAAGAGAAGTCGTCGGCAGAGATTTTTATTCATTTTAATATTTGCGCAGTCTCAAAAAGGGTGTTATTGTTAGCTATTTTGAACAGTCAGCAGACTAGTCGTAGGGCCCTATAAATTCAGTTTCAGGTTTCACTCTCAAAATCCCATGTATAACGCCCACCCGATTGATACCATGCAACTCATCATGACATCATCCTGCCAGCTCGGCCTACTTTGCATTCAACAACATTCAATTGGGAAGTTTTTTTTGGGGGGGAAAGCCTTTAGAATTGTTCATTCAAAACAGCGCATGATGACAGAATTCCGCATTGGAAAGGTTTCAGACCATACTTATATTTCTGGTTTAAATACCCATTGTAGCCTTATCATTTAATGACCAAATGTATGTGGACACCTGCTTGTCGAACATCTCATTCCAAAATCATGGGCATTAATATTGAGTTGGTCCCCCCTTTGCTACTATAACAGCCTCCACTCTTCTGGGAAGGCTTTCCACTAGAAGTTGGAATATTGCTGCGGGGACTTGCTTCCATTCAGCCACAAGAGCATTAGTGAGGTCGGGCACTGATGTTGGGTGATTAGGCCTGGCTCACAGTCGGCGTTCCAATTCATCCCAAATGTGTTCGATGGGGTTCAGGTCAGGGCTCTGTGCAGGCCAGTCAAGTTCTTCCATACCTATCTCGACAAACCATTTCTGTATGGGCCTTGCTTTGTGCACAGGGGCATTGTCATGCTGAAACAGGAAATGGCCTTCCCAAAACTTTTGCCACAAAGTTAGAAGCACAAAATATCATTGTATGCTGTAGCGTTAAGATTTCCCTTGACAAACCATGAAAAACAGCCCCAGACCATTATTACTCCTCCACTAAACTTTACAGTTGGCACTATGCATTGGGGCAGGTAGCCAAACTCAGATTTGTCTATCAGACTGCCAGATGGTGAAGCATGATTCATCACTCCAGAGAAAGTGTTTCCACTGCTCCAGAGTCCAATGGCGGCGAGCTTTACACCACACCAGCTGACGCTTGGCATTGCGATCTTAGTGTGCGGCTGCTCGGCCATGGAAACCCATTTCATGAAGCTCCTGACGAACAGTTATTATGCTGACGTTGTGTCCAGAGGCAGTTTGGAACTCGGTAGTGAGTGTTGCAACAGAGGACAGATGATTTTTACGTGCTACAGCTCTCGGCGGTCCCGTTCTGTGAGCTTGTGTGGCCTACCACTTTGCGGCTGAGCTGTTGTTGCTCCTAGACGTTTCACTTCACAATAACAGCACTTACAGTTGACGGGGCAGCTCTAGCAGAGCAGAAATTTGACTTGTTGGAAAAGGTGGCATCCTATGATGGTGCCACATTGAAAGTCACTGAGCTCTTCAGTAACGCCATTCTACTGCCAATGTTTGTCTACAGAGATTGCTTGGCTGTGTTGTCGATTTTATACCTGTTAGCAATGGGTGTGGCTGAAATAGCCAAATCCACTAATTTGATAGTGTCCACAAAAGTATAATAAGTCGAAAAGTCTTTCCTACCTACCCTAACGTTGTCGTTCTTCTGTGAGCTGCGTGACAGTTTGTCCCGCTCAAAATAATCTACATAACCAATGTTCCCTGCTGAGCGCAAACTTGAACGTTGTGAAAATTCTGTGCAACTTCCGGCACACGTTTACTGTGAACAGGCTATACCCACTTTAAAAAGTGGTCAAGTAGACTACTGTGGCGATTACCAGTGGCCTACCATAAAAAAAAAATGAGAAAATGCATCCCATAACATTTTAACATATTCAGCCTACAGTAGCAGCAGCCAATGTGTGGTGTTTTTGTTGTTGAAATGTCAGAAATGTTTATTTGTAAATTTTGAGTTGTTTTATTCTCACTTTAACAGATGAAAATAAACAAGTGAGATGGGGAACTTTTCGTTTTTTCATTTAGTTGCATAATAATTCTACACACTAATAGTTGCCCAATAATTGTGCACACAGATATTCTCCAAAGAAAGCCAAAACCTCACTTTTACTTTCTTAAATATTCAGGTTTGAGGTTTATTAACATTTTGGATTGACCGAGAGCACTGTAGTTGTTCAATAATAAAATTAATCCTCAAACATACAACTTGCCTAATAATTGTGCACACAGTGTAGGCTGGATAGGGAGGCGATTTCCCACAGTTAAAGCCCCACATTAAAAAAAGGGCAACGACGGCAATGTGTCAACTCTTCAGTTGTTCTGTTGGTGTCAGTGAGTAGGCCAATAACCCATTTCAAGGGCCCAAGATCCATAGGTAAGGCTGTACAGTGCATAGCCTACAATTATGTTCGCAGTGTAAGTCTGAAGTCTAATACATCCACAGTGCGATTTCAGATGTGTCAAATTAACTAAATTGTATTTTTGTTGAATTTATAGAACATTCCAAACTTATTTGGACTAGATAATGCTAAACATGGCATTATTCCACTATTTGTATCCATCAGTTTCAATGGGGGACTTCCACTATCGTGGCTAACTTCACCAGAGGAAGAGGCCCAACTCTGCGAAAATCTCTCCCTCCAGCAGGTGGCCTTTTTGTTGTTTTGCCCACCAAGCAAGGAGTTTTTGTATGGAGGTCAATGAGTGTTGAATTTGGTCAACAACAAAAACATGTAATGGCTTATTTGCTACGTGAGGTTTATTTGATCTAATAGAAGTTACGTAATGTTTAAGTTGTTACAAGGGTAGTGATAAGTAGGACACGTGACATCCCGGCAACTTTGAGAAAAAACATTATCAGAGTTGTCTCGAGATGGCTATGCATATTCATGGCATGAGGCTAGTAGTATAGCATTCCTCTCCATTGAATACATGTGGTTGACGTCAACAACCCTCATCAAATATTCAAAAAAGGATTACAATAAATGAGATGTATCCACCAATCCAAAAGAAAGGATAGGCGGGAGGTAGACAGCCCGCCATGCCGCTTTGTGGACAACGACTCCCATTGTTAGGGCGGAGAGACATGCATCTTGTCAGTATATCCATAATCTTGTGTCAGTCTCAAGTGACCAGTTGTTGTTAGTCAAGTGTGTTTATTTGTTTAAAGTTTGCATCAGCCAGGCAGGCATGGAGCATCTGCATCAAGGGGCCAGGGTTCCGGTATAGAAGCACAGTTGTGACTGCTCCTATAGTTTTGCGTCAGTACTGGCCCATAATGACAATTTCCAAAGAAGTCAGATTTGCACAAAACATTCATTGAATTATTCAAATAATTGTCACAGAGGCTGATTTTTCCCTCCTCCGCAATTTCCTGGTTGCTAAAATTCTAATAGTTCACCTAATTTCAGTTTGTGACAAAACAAGCTAGTGTAGAGAATCATTGTACCATCTAAACCATAACCAAAAATATTGTATTTTCAGCTGTTTGAAGCTGTTGTACAAAACAGGATGTAAGGCGCAAAAATGAAACTAATAGGAAGCATATTAATAGAGCACAGAACAGAGCTACAGCTTTTTAGACTTGCTTTCAATGAGAATGACAGATGTCATATTTCTATGTGAATTTGGTCAGGTAGCCCAAAAAAAACATATTGCAGCTTTAACATTTTATATTCATCCAATGTCTGCCATGTTTTTGGATGACGTCGTGGCTGCTCCCTGTGCGCCTGTGAAGTTTGGCTGTGTAAACCGGATATAAACGGTCCATGAATCGGCATATGCATACGCGAATAGATTACTTTGAAAACAAAGGTCGGACATCTTGGACACAGTCTAGTTCTTATTGTACCTCAGTGATCTGCATAGCCACAATAGTATTTGTAAAGCCATGCTGTTCTCTAGACGCATCACATACTATGAAGAGATTGTTTAAAGGGTAAAATGTAGGGCCTACACACCCAGGAAGGAAATACACTGTTACACCTTTATGAAGTAGGCCTACATCAAACACTGGGAAAAACACACTTCAGATACCTTTAGTTGGTTCAGGTACTAAGCCAGCCTTGATTGTCACTCCAACCATTGACTTCCAGTTGCTACTAACTAAAAATCCACCATGACATAGCAACCGATTAAATAATAGCATTTGCCACCAATATTAGCTAATATAGGTCACACATATCCTAAATGGGTAATGCTGAAGAAGCAGATCTAGGCTAGCTAGCTAGCTAGCTAGCTAGCTATAGGCCTATGGCTAGACTACAGCCTACAGGATAAGGGCTTTGCCTTTGGGTGTCATTTTCTGTTTTGTCAGCTTGACAAAGCTAGCTTGCTGATTTATGTGCCAATTTAACTAGTTAGCTAGTAGGTTAACTAGTAGATTAATTAATTTGTCAACCCTGGGCCTTCATTTAAAAAAACTAGCATTGGGCCCTGCCATTATAAGTAAGTTAGCCTAATCAGCTGTTGTGACATGTTTATTTCCGGACCTGGTCGATTCTATCTATACTAAACAGCTGAAAAACAAAGAAACTAGCCAGTTAGGTAGTAAGGTACAACTGACATATCAATGATATTTTTTAATCAAACTATCAACTTTTGCTAACTTTGACAAACATTAGTTATGTTAGGACTACAGTTCGCCCAACTGGAAAGCTAACGTTAGTTGGCTAAACGGGGTAACGTTGCTAGTTAACGTTACCTTGTTTTGGCTGGGGACTTCGCCAGCTGGTTTACAAGATAGCTTATGGTTGATCATTACCTAGTTAACAACCTAACTTAGTTAACTAACATTAGCTTGACTGCGTTGTTATCTAACTAACGTTAGTGCTGTCAATACGTTTTATTGAGAAAGACAACTGCTAAGATTAGCTGCGAACGTTGGCTAGCTAAAAGGTAGTTAGCTAAAAGTACGGCTAGCTAGCCACTGACATGTAACGTTAGCATCATCAGCTTACTTTGCTAACGTTAGCGCTCACAATTAATTTCATTCACGTGTCATAGCTAACGTTAGTTACCTTTATAGTGCACTCGAAGATTGTTCTGAGAGAGGCCAATGTAACTGAACTTGTCCTTCGGGCTCCAGGATCGAGGAAGCGGGGTTTCAAGTTCGTTTACCGCTGGATAGAGCCGTCGGAGTTGCTGGTTGAGCTCATTTTCCTGCTCGTTCAGAGCCGAGTCTCCGTGAACAACAACCGACATTAGAAACCCACAGCCCGATGACTGTCCAGACATGGCTATCAAACTGTTTTATTTAAGTTAGAAAGCCGTGTCAGCCACCGATTCAAACAACTATTAACTATAAGTCAAATGGCCTTACAAACTGACAAGTATTTTAAAAGCTCACTAGCTAACGTTGCTGGGTAATGCTAGCAAACTAAATAAGCGTATTGCTAAAATGGCTCGATAGCTGACAATCGCTGAACACATAAAATGACGAATTTAACGAAGAAAACCCATCAGGCTAAAGCGTTTTGAGAAAAGTTGAAAATATACGACACAAGACTTATCTCGCAGGTATGATTAGAGCTGCTAGACATCGACAAAGTATGGCTAACCTCGATCTTTTGTTTGTTGTCGGTGCTAATCCACACATTTGATTGGTTTAGAGGATGTCCAGTCACATTTCCTTAAGTACTGGAAAGTACATGCTCAGACACATAACAAACATCAATGCATCCCTCAATGTTCTATCCTCACAATGTTATCAACAGTTTATCATCTTTAGGCTAATTGGTCTGCAGAAACTCCAGCTCTATATGAAGTAATTCTCTCTTGGAAAATGGTAAAGTAGTTAAATTGTAATTTCTTCACCAAATAGGGTACCTAATGCAATAATAATAAAATAAATAATATGCCATTTAGCAGACGCTTTTATCCAAAGCGACTTACAGTCACGCGTGCATACATTTGTTGTGTATGGGTGGTCCCGGGGATCGAACCCACTACCTTGGCGTTACAAGCGCCGTGCTCTACAAGCTGAGCTTGCAATGCCAGCAATGACTGTAGGAAGTGGGGTAAATTGAGGTCTAGTCCTACATTTCCATCACTGTGGAAAATGAAAAAGTTATATCAATGAATAAAGAATCGAACGAACATCATTCTTAATAAAATGTTCTACAATTAGCACTGTGGTCACACTAATGAAATCAAAATCTATATCAATATCTATATATAATATGGGGCGGCAGGTAGCTTAGTGGGTAAGAGCGTTGTGCCAGTAACCGAAAGGTCGCTGGTTCTAATCCCCGAGCCAACTAGGTGAAAAATCTGTCGATGTGCCCTTGAGCAAGGCACTTAACCCTAATTGCTCCTGTAAGTCGCTCTGGATAAGAGCGTCTGCTAAATGACTAAAACTAAAATAAAAAAATAAATAAAAAAAAATAAAAAATAAAATAAATATAACAATCACATAATAATGCAAATCCAAGTTGAACCTAGCTCACCTACTACTTTTCTCAAATTCTGTCATCCCCCAGGATAAATGATTAGGCCAACTCTTCCTATACAACAGAGATACTTTAGCTTTGTTCACAATTTGCAGCTCGTTTACAGTTTGTTTACAGTGAATCTGTTTGAAGCTAGAATTAACTGTGACAATGTAGTCTAACTGTCCTGAGTCTGACTAAATGAAACTTGCATGCAGGGGCGTCATGCACCCATTATTTTAGAGGGGGCACAAAGTACATGAGGATGGAAAGGGGGTGGTCCCCCCACTGCTCCGGATGTAGGAGAATTTAGCATTTTTCAAACACCTGAAACAGCTATTTTTCTGCATTGGTTATCTAAGCATACCTCTTCACCTGTTCAATTGTTATTTACCTTTACCTTGCTAGAAGGCATGCCAGCTAAGGGACAGATCGAAATTTACTGGGGGGAGGGGCTGGTCCAACTCAAGGTGTAAAAATAAAATGCAACCCCCTCCCCAACATTACAAATATTTTCACATGACCCTCCCCTTGTACTGTAAAATAAATGTAACACCCTCCCCCCTCATAGAATTAACTCAAAATAATGTTTACGGCCAAAAATAACAATACCAGCGACCCTGTGTTTATAAACACGGATATCGACTTTGCCACTTCAACATGCTTTTGTGGCACGGTCGATGCCACGCAGGGCTACGGGCCAGAAGGTTGAGGGTTCGCCGACCACAACTCTCCCTGCCTGTTTCATTACACTACGATCATAGCCAGCTGCAGACAATGATCAGCTAGGGGGAAATCCGATTTTCAACATTTTGATGCCATATTTATAATGATATAAAATGTATGCAACACATTTTCCACCAACAGGTTTCTGTGCAAATGCACCACACAACCAATAAACAAAGCATACTGATTTCGGGCACATCATGGTTTGCGTTTTCAACACCACAATAAATAGACTATGTCAATCTCGACAAACAGAAAATACATCCTTCCCTACCCAGTATTCGAGGCTTTGCTTGATAATGTCATTAAACTTTTTTGGTGTTTTGTAGCAGATGTCTCTTTCCATTCATCAATTGTCCGCTGCACAGTTTGAATTGATTGATTGATTTTATTTGTCAGTTAAAAAAAATACATACAGTACCAGTCAAAAGTTTGGACATTGTAGAATAATAGTGAAGACATCCAAACTATGAAATACCACATATGGAATCATGTAGTAACCAAAAAAGTGTTAAACAAATCAAAATATATTTTATATTTGAGATTCTTCAAATAGCCACCCTTTGCCTTGATGACAGCTTTGCACAATCTTGGCATTCTCTCAACCAGCTTCACCTGGAATGCTTTTCCAACAGTCTTGAAGGAGTTCCCACATTGGCCCCGTATAGCTCAGTTGATAGAGCATGGGGTTTGCAACGCCAGGGTTGTGGGTTTGATTCCCACGGGGGGCCAGTATGAAAAAAAAAAATGTATGCACTCACTAACTGTAAGTCGCTCTGGATCAGAGTGTCTGCTAAATGACTAAAATGTAATGCTGAGCACTTGTTGTCTGCTTTTCCTTCCCTCTGCGGTCCGACTCATCCCAAACCATCTCAATTTAGTTGAGGTCGGGGGATTGTGGAGGCCAGGTCATCTGATGCAGCACTCCATCACTCGCCTTCTTGGTAAAATAGCCCTTACACAGCCTGGAGGTGTGTTGGGTCATTGTCTTGTTGAAAAACAAATGATAGTCCCACTAAGCCCAAACCAGATTGGATGGTGTATCGCTGCATAATGCTGTGGAAGCCATGCTGGTTAAGTGTGCCTTGAATTCTAAATAAATCACAGACAGTGTCACCAGCAAAGCACCCCCACACCATAACACCTCCTCCTCCATGCTTTACGGTGGGAAATACACATGCGGAGATCATCCGTTCACCCACACCGCGTCTCACAATGACACAACGGTTGGAACCAAACATCTCCAATTTGGACTCCAGACCAAAGGACAGATTTCCACCGGTCTAATGTCCATTGCTCGTGTTTCTTGGCCCAAGCAAGTCTCTTCTTCTTATTGGTGTCCTTTAGTAGTGGTTTCTTTGCAGCAATTCGACCATGAAGGCCTGATTCACACAGTCTCCTCTGAACAGTTGATGTTGAGATGTGTCTGTTACTTGAACTCTGTGAAGCATTTATTTGGGCTGCAATCTATGAGGCTGGTAACTTTAATGAACTTATCCTCTGCAGAAGAGGTAACTCTGGGTCTTCCATTCCTGTGGCGATCCTCATGAGAGCAAGTTTCATCATAGCGCCTGATGGTTTTTGCGACTGCACTTGAAGAAACTTTAAAAGTTCTTAACATTTTCCATATTGACTGACATTAAGAAGGAAAGAAATTCCACAAATTAACTTTTAACAAGGCACACCTGTAAATTGAAATGCATTCCAGGTGACTACCTCATGAAGCTGGTTGAGAGAATGCCAAGAGTGTGCAAAGCTGTCATCAAGGCAAAGGATGGCTATTTGAAGTAATCTCAAATATAAAGTATATTTTGATTTGTTTAACACTTTTTTGGTTACTACATGATTCCATATGTGTTATTTCATAGTTTTGATGTCTTCACTATTATTCTACAATGTAGAAAATAGTAAAAATAAAGAAAAACCCTTGAATGAGTAGGTGTTCTAAAACTTTTGACCGGTAGTGTATATATGGAAGAGAAGCCCCAGAGAGATAGATAGAGATATGTTGGTGGCATGGTACGACACTGATATGCATTTATTCATGTCAGATGGCTACTATACAGATATAGACATACAGAAGGAGGCTAATTCGTTAATTTTCAATCAGAATATTTTGTATAAAGATAAGCATTATATTGTTAGATTATAGGAGTAACTCTGGTAGGCCTGAAACAGACTTCCTCAACTCAAGTTCAACTGCCTGAGTCAGTTGGAGTGCCAGGGCGCACTGCCTTCATATCATAGGCCTACAGTAGCTAAAGCATTTTTTTATTTTTTTATTTCACCTTTATTTAACCAGGTAAGCCAGTTGAGAACAAGTTCTCATTTACAACTGCGACCTGGCCAAGATAAAGCAAAGCAGTGCGATAAAAACAACAACACAGAGTTACATATGGGGTAAAACAAAACATAAAGTCAAAAATACAACAGAATATATATATACAGTGTGTGCAAATGTAGCAAGTTATGGAGGTAAGGCAATAAATAGGCTATAGTGCAAAATAATTACAATTAGTATTAACACGAATGATAGATGTGCTAGAGATTATGTGCAAATAGAGATAATGGGGTGCAAATGAGCAAAATAAATAACAATATAGGGATGAGGTAGTTGGGTGGGCTAATTACAGATGGGCTGTGTACAGGTGCAGTGATCGGTAAGGTGCTCTGACAACTGATGCTTAAAGTTAGTGAGGGAGATAAGAGTCTCCAGCTTCAGAGATTTTTGCAATTCGTTCCAGTCATTGGCAGCAGAGAACTGGAAGGAATGGCGGCCAAAGGAGGTGTTGGCTTTGGGGATGACCAGTGAGATATACCTGCTGGAGCGCAGACTACGGGTAGAGTAGAGTGTTGGAGGCTATTTTGTAAATGACATTGCCGAAGTCAAGGATCAGTAGGATAGTCAGTTTTACGAGGGCATGTTTGGCAGCAGAGTGAAGGAGGCTTTGTTGCGAAACAGGAAGCCGATTCTGGATTGAATTTTGGATTGGAGATTCTTAATGTGAGTCTGGAAGGAGAGTTTACAGTCTAACCAGACACCTAGGTATTTGTAGTTGTCCACATACTCTAGGTCAGACCCGTCGAGAGTAGTGATTCTAGTCGGGTGGGCGGGTGCCAGTAGCTTTCGATTGAAGAGCATGCATTTAGTTTTACTAGAGTTTAAGAGCAGTTGGAGGCTACTGAAGGAGTGTTGTATGGTATTGAAGCTTGTTTGGAGGTTTGTTAACACAGTGTCCAATGAAGGGCCAGATGTATACAAAATGGTGTCGTCTGCGTAGAGGTGGATCTGAGAGACACCAGCAGCAAGAGCGACATCATTGATATACACAGAGAAAAGAGTTGGCCCAAGAATTGAACCCTGTGGCACCCCCATAGAGACTGCCATAGGTCCAGAAAAC